ATATATTCAGACTTTCATTCAATATATTCAGACTGTTACATATATATATAATTTCCTAAACGGCATGCCATATTTGTGTATATATATATATATATATACACATACACTTGTGAATTCACCATGCTATACCTGTATATATATCCATATGGACTTTCACCATGTCATTCACATATATATGTGTGTATGTGTGTGTGTGTGTAAATTCACTATGTCATATATGTATTTGTGTAAATTCACCATGATGTTTATTTATGTAAATTCACCATGCCATATGTGTACTTGTGTAAATTAACTGTCATATTTTTACATATCCACATGTAAATTCATAATTTCATGTCTGTATATATCCACATGTAAATTCACCATGTTATATATCCACATGTAAATTCATCATGTCACGTTTGTAAATATCCACATGTAAATTCATCATGTCATATATCCACATGTAAATTCATCATGTCATATATCCACATGTAAATTCATCATGTCATATATCCACATGTAAATTCATCATGTCATATCTGTATATATCCATATGTTAATTCATTATGTCATATCTGTATATATCCATATGTTAATTCATCATGCCTACATTGTCTTTATTTTATCTTTATTTTTTTTAGCCTTATTTCACTTTTGTAATGTCCTGCTTCTTCCATGGCTCATCTGTATCAAGCTGCTGTAACATGTATATTTCCTTGGTAAGGGATCAATAAAGTTTATCTTATCAATTGCCTGATAATAATGTGAAGGAATATTCTGTAACATATTCATTATCTAGTATTGATTTTAGCTTGTTAGTTTGCTGTTACAGCTGGAACCATTTTTTTGTTTGGTAGCAATATCAGTGCAGCAATGGCACATTTGTCTTTGCTTCAGATCTTATTTCTGTAAAGAAAACAAGGTGCTTGATTTATTTCTACATTTCAGGAGTGGTGCCTGAAACCTTTGGCAGGACACAAAGGAATGAATGTGAATGCTGAATGAAGACTGTGAAGTACAGCCCTGCATTTTTTATTTGATGTAGTCAGTGAACAGACCAGTGAAAACACCATAACAACTGTAAATAATAATAATAATACAATTTCAGCAGCTGCTGAACCAACAAACTACTGTAAGAATAGAAAATAACCACCTCATACAAATAAATTCATTGTCCATGAGTGAGACACATGATCTAGCCTTTCTTTTACATGAAATTCTGTGTTTATTCATTTATTTTGCGTTTTAATGTTTAATTAGGAATACTGATGTGCAAAAACCATGGAATTACTTATCAGATAGATCTAAAAATTACAATATATTTGTGAGGGCATAACAGCAGAATTTTTATGTGAAAAAAATGTAAAATTTGTTTAGTAAACTGAAAATGTATGTATATTTGCAGTTGCAGGTTTACAGTTTATTTGACATTATATCTGTAAGTCTAAGGAATATTTTTTTTTGAATTTTATAGATATTTCTTGTGTGTTTCAAAAATATGAAAAAAAATCTGTTAAATAAAAGGCAAAATTCTGTAAAATTACAGATATTTTTACTGCGCACAAACTTTTTTCTCTTGTCTCCAATTAAAGACCTATCATAATTAGACTTACTTCAGAGTTGTGAAACATGCAAGATGGGCTTGGACAACAGTCCGGAACACATTGTCACTTGAAAACTTAGTTCAAATATACGATTTACATTTAATTAATGTTGCAACAAATTAAAATTCATTTGAGGAAATAACAACAACTGAATAAACAGCATCCAGGTGTGTCCATATACACTAAAACCAGCACTATCATTATCTGCCTGTAACAAATCAGTCAATAAGCCTTGTGAACACCAACCTGACGCTGGGTGATGGAGAACACAACATCTTCCTGCCCGAAGGATTGTCAGAAATGCACTTAAGTGAGGCACCAAGTGTCTGTGCAGCTTCTCATCGAAGGTGGACGAGAAATACGCAGCGAAAGCTACAAATGGCAATTAAGGAAATGTGACTGAGCAGGACGAAGGGTCAGCTGATTTACAACAGATGCAGGGAGAGATATGTCCTGCAAGATGGATGATCTGTGAAGTCCCTGTTTGTAAGCGAGAGAGGTCAAATTTGATTTCTTTCCGAGAGCTGAGAAGAGCAAAGCAGTTACTGAGCATTAAGCCTGGAAACAGCAAACTGGATAAAGATGATTCAGTTTACCTGCTGGGTGGTTTTTGTTTGTTAATTAATGGTGTAGAAACAGCAAGTTACCATTTTAGTGAAGTTTGTTGTTAAAGTTCTTCACATTACCCAGACTACACCTTAAAGAGTCAAGTTTATTTACCATGTTAGCTGGTCAATTTGGTGTTTTTTGTAGTCATGTTTAGTCACTGCACATTTAAAACAACAGACCTTTAGCCAAAGTGCTTTCCAACAGAGAAATAAGATGGATGTTCCAAAATTTACCCAACAAGTTTAAATATGGCTGTTAAGACAGTTTTATTGATTATACATGCTGTAAGTTTATGCATACTAGAAGATAAGTGAAATGACTGAGCATTTCCACCAATGACACAGATTCAGACGTTCTGATTTTACTATGGAACAAACCTAAAGAACCAATCCTGTCATCGTGCAGTGTGGTGTGTGAAAGGATCATTTGCATTGGAAAAAAAAATCCAAATATATAATTTTTATACACAGATAGAAATGTAATCGGCCCCATAAGTTGCTTTTATTGTAGCTGCCGTTTGTACATTAAGGGCTGGTCAGTAATCTCATTCCGCTGAAACATTTTGCGGTTTCTGCCAGTTATGCTAGTCTATGAAACTGATTTAATTCAAGGTAAATCAGCACATCAAAGGTCGTTATTTCAGAAATTTGCTGCTCCTTGTCCCTTGCATGATATGAAACTGTCTGTACTTGGTTGTGACCATGTTTACAATAAACATGTTAAACATAAGCCTTGCACAAATGTGTAATCCTGTTTAATTGACTTATTTTCTGCCTAAATGCAAATATGTGGATATTTAAGGCATATATATGCTCACTTTTTTTCCAGAATCTTTCAGAATCTTGCACTTGCTATAAAATATATCCAAACACATCTACAGGCTTCTGGACATATTTAAGATTTTGCAGATGATGAGGCATCCTTATAACTGCTCAGTTTAGATAATCAGGAGTGTAGGAGGCATCCAGAGACTCAGCGAAGACACAGTTTAATAAAAAGATCTGCACAGAACATCTCTCTCATCTTCGCTCTCAAGTTCTCTTCCAAAAAAGCAGGCCACAGGTTACGTTTACATGCTTCACCTGCTTCTTCGTGCAGTTTTAGTGGCCGATGAAACGAATTCAACGATCGCATATTTATGTCCCACCGTACAAAGTGTGGATTGTGTGTCTGTGGCCACATTGGCTTTATAAATGCTCATCCCAAGAATCCTTTGACTGGCTGGAAAAATATCAGTTGAGAAAAAGCCAATAGATGCCAAGAAACGAGAACGAAGTACTTAAACTTAGATTTTTGCAAACGATGCTGTTGAGTTATCTGTATGAAATATGTTGTAAAAGCATTTCTCGACACACATTTTTATTTCTTCTTGTCCCTCCCTGTCTCTCTCTCCGTACAGTACAATGCAACGCCACTTTGTCAGCCATGGAAGATGTTGTCGAGTCACCAGATCCTGCATCGTCATCATCTTTTTCCCCTTTGGAGTGCACCTACAGCATTACTGTGTATGCAGGGTATGGTGTGGAAATTCAGGTAAAGTGCAGCGTGAATCCAGAAACTTTAGTGTTTTCAAACATTTAAATAAGACTTCTTAATTTGAATCACAAAGAGAAATATAGACGCAAATATGGTTGTGTATAGAGCCTCTGTCTACTCATTTTCGTCTTTGTGGTGCAACATTTGCATCAACAGACTACAGCATTGGTCAGTTTGTGCATCAGTGTCAGTGGGATTATTTCACAAGCCGCTGATTTACAAGTTTATTCATTCAGGACAGCTGACAGAACAGGCTCTGTGTGTTCCGTTTCTACCTCCAGGTGAGGAAGGCCAATCTCTCCAAGGAGGAGTCTCTGACCATCATGGGCTACGGAGGTTCAGGACCGGAGCTGTTAGCCAACGAGACCCTGATGAAGGAGGGCCAGGTGATCCGCAGTACGACCAACCAGGTGTACATTCACTACCGCAGCCTCCGACAGACCAACCATGGCATGTTCAGCCTCCACTATCAAGGTAAATGAACCCACAAGAAGATGAAAGATCTCTCTGATGACCTTATATAATTTTCTTTACAACTGAAGATAGCGTCAGGTTTCTTCAGAGAAAATTTTCTGTAGCTGGAATAAAAAAATAAAGAATAGACACTGAAAGCACAGGAGCATTATTTTGAAAGTTTCTAAATAAGACATTATCCTCTCTGAGCTAAGCATTTCTACACAGGTTCTCTAAACCTTGTCTTGTTTTGCACTGAGCTTTGCACTGCGGATTAAGCTCAGTAAACGAGAGATGAATGACAACATTTACGAAGGATCAAGAGAGAAAGGTTTAGGTAATCGGGCTTCGGTGCTATCTTCATAAAAGGGTGATAAACGATGCAGGTGCTGGTGAACAGACAGGTGGTAGAAGACAGCACCTGCTCAGCCACGTCACCTGGGACAAATCTGTCGATGGTGGTGGTGATGGGGGAGGCTGAGATTAAAATTACACCATTTATTGGAGCCAGAAACTGGAAAACAGAAGAATTTTCCTTCCATGTGGAGGTCTTTGAACTACGACGTGTTGTTCCATTGGAAAATGCAACCAAAAAGGACATTTTATGAATATGAATTTGTTCTACATGTCTCATTTAGAAATGAATAAAAAATAAACCCCTTGTAATCGTAATGATCAGAATTTTTAAAGTCAACTTTAAAGCTATAAGGGGCTCAGCTTTGATAAACAGTCAAAAATTCCTTTTTTTTTTTTTGTGGCTGAGCAGGGCTGAACTGCAGGCTGTGATTATGCAGCGTATATAAGGAAAAAGTATGGCAACAAATAAAAATGTAAGAAAAATGGTACATTAACAGTTTGCAGAACAGTGTAGGAAACACCTGGGATCACATGCAAAAATATTTCTTTTTTTATTATTTTTTTAATTTTGTTTTTCTAAATTATTAATTCAATGAATTCAACGTTTGTTTTTTTCCCAATTTATTGCATTATAATTTTGTATTATCGCACAAAATACATTTTTAGTTTTCTCTATTTATAGCTATGGTTGTACTATTTCCATAGAAGTGCAGGACTTTATAGTTTTGGGGGGAAAACACAGTGAGAATTCACCAAAATAAATAAATAAATAAAAAGGCATCACAGATGTGTAAAGATTTAAAGATTAACACCCAGCTGATTAACTTCTAGAATGTGGAAGTAAAGCTGAATAGTCAGGAATAATGCACATGGATGTTGTGAATAAGGGGAGTTTTGGCAGCACAGGAAAATGTAGATGAAAGAGAGAAAGATGATCAGAGAGTAGAAATCCACCAACAGAAGCTGCTTTAAGCATTTCACTAAACAGGTTTTTTTCCCTCCACCTCCGTCCGCAGCCTTCCTGCTCTCCTGCCCCTTCCCTCTGTCCCCTGAGGGCGGCGGAGTGACGGTGACGGACATCCATCCTGGAGGTCAGGCCCACTTCCACTGTGACCCGGGTTTCCAGGTTCGAGGCCATGAGGTGGCAACGTGTGTGAACACAACGCAGCCCCACTGGAGCACCGCTGAGCCGCAGTGTGTCGGTCCGTACGCTCATTTGTGCTGAAACTGGAAAGATTTTGTGAGCTTGTAGAGTTTGTGACATGATAAGTGGGATATTATGTTTTTTTCACTCAGCTGTGTCTTGCGGAGGGTGGATTCGTAATGCAACTGTGGGACGGATCCTGTCTCCACCGCCTCCATCTGTCAGCAACCACAGCAATGGAAATAATCTGAGCTGCCACTGGTTGATAGAAGCCAAAGAGGGACACAGACTCCACCTACACTTTGAGAGGATTGCACTGGATGAAGACGACGACAAGTACGTTTGTGTTTCTACCAGTTTTTCTACAAGGCTTTAATCTATCTGTGTAGTTTGCATATGATTTAATACGTTATCTGAACCTTTTTTAAGATTTCATGGAGAAAACACTTTTTTTTTTTGGAAATATTGGAGCTTGTGGTTTTAGTTTGGGCGTCTTTCCACAAACAAACATGTTCCTCTTACAGATTTAACCCAGCCAGATTAGATTATTCTTCAGTTGTTTAGCATAAATAATACAGTTTTAAAGTTGCACATTGCTCACACTCAAAAGCTATTCAACAGACTAACTTTTATCTTTAATGCTGTAGAAATTATGGTATTTTACCCTTTATTCCCTACAGGCTAACTGTACTACCCACAATGCAAATAGATCAAAACCTTCTCCAGTAGAATCATTAGACTGTTTCTCATCCTTTATGTCTCTCACACACATTCCCCACTGCCTTTATTTAATTACACATTAAAAATAATTACTGTTATGACAAGTAAAAAAGAGAAAATAAGGAAAACTGTTCATGTAATCCCTAAAAGGAACTTGGAAGTAAACAATCACAATTGACTTCTACCTTAATGAAGACTTGGATGAAAACTTGATTTTGCAATTGCATAGAAAAATGCAGATGTGTGAAATGTGTGTGGCAGGTTTTCCTTCGCCCTGCTGTCCGTGCACAGTCATACATTCCTCATTCAGGCACATGTCATAGCATCGCTGTCTTTGTTTGAGCTCACCACCGGCTGTCTTTGTGATTTATTCCCCTCAGGTTAATTGTGCGCAGTGGAAACAGTTCCCTGTCTCCGCCGCTCTTTGACTCGGACCTGGACGACGTCCCAGAACGTGGGCTGCTGAGTGAGAGCTCCACGCTGTACCTGGAGCTCACAGCCGACTCCTCCTCCATCCCTCTGCTGCTGGCGCTGAGATACGAGGGTGAGTGGAGAGCCTTCACATGCTCGGCCTGCATCCTTTCGCCTGCATGAGGTCTTCTGTGCATTCAGCTGCACATCCCTCTAATCTCCTTGTATAATATTGAAATCCTGGTTCAGCATTCTGCCTGGAAAAGTTGATCAACTACAAAATTACCGGAAAGCCCCAATATTACAAAATCTTGAAGGTTTTACTTGCTGCAAGTTTTTTTCAAAGGTTGACCTCTTTATGGATAACTTAGACATTCAAGAGGCTACAGCCCTTTAGAAAACCAAGGCTTTCTTTACATTTGTTTTTTTTTTTTTTTAATTCTGTGTCTAAGAGGGCTATAATGAGCCACATCCGTGCTTACAGTCTGCCCACATTTCAGTGGGATTTATTTCAGGCTTTGGAGAGATTCACAACCGAAGCTTTTAGCACCTCACACCTGGGCTTTTTCTTGCCAAGACGATTTGAGATTCTGGCTTCTTCCAAGTGAAAAGCTCCACTGCTACTTCCTCGATAAATATGACTATGGTCGTTTAACCCTCTGAACTCCAAGTAGTTTCTGGACATTTCTTTTTTGTTTGCTCCTTTCACATTTTTTTCTTGCTGTGGGCTCATCTTTCACTGCAATATAAAGTCCTGCACCTCTATGGAAACTGCACAAACATGACTAGAAGTAGAATAAATAAAATGATAGTTGGATTTTTTTTTTGTTACTGATTTTACAAAAATTGATTTTTTTCATGCTTTTCTCCTAAATGCTCTGTTGGTCACTAGTGAAGCTTCGGTTGCACCAGGGAGCACAGAAAGTTTGATTTCTTGTACAATGTAGTGAGAGCAGATGGTTTATTTTTGGTAACTTTTTAAATGAAACATGCAGAATAAAGAGATTTTTAATAAATTATCACAATTTTCAGCTTAGATTTGGTTGTGTGGTCTGAAGGAGTACCAGACGAGTACTTCAATGAACATTAAAAGGTTCAAAATCTGACTATTCTCTTTGTTTTTACAGTTTCTGGCTCTGATAAAATCATAAAATTTTGGCTATTTTTTAAAGACAGCATGCCTTTTAAATCTGCTGGTGGGTTTCAGGATTCAGAGGGTTCATTTAATCAAACAGGAGAACAACCGCTAGAATTAAAAAAAAAAAGGGAATACGTGCACAGATTGTGTCAAATTTCTGTTCCTCCGTCTGTTCTCAGCGTTCGATGATGAGCACTGCTGGGAGCCCTACATGCCTCATGGGAACTTCAGCAGCAGCGACATCACGTATCAGCTGGGCACCACCGTCACCTTCACCTGCTCTCCAGGCTTCGTCATGGAACAAGGGTCGGGCACCATCGAGTGTGTCGACCCCAGCAATCCCCACTGGAACGACAGTGAGCCTGTGTGCAGAGGTGAGTTTCAGGGTGACGTTTTTCAGTGAATATAGAAACATATCAGCAGTTTATGAAATCAAACTGTTTCTTGTTTCAAGCTGTCTTTGTCCTTCCTCCTCGTTTCATCTCAGCTTCATTTCTGGATTTAACTAAAGCTGAATATGTCATTAATCCATATTTACATAGCACATGGAGTTCTTTGCAAGTCCATTAATATGCAAAATGAATTGTGCTGATTTACCACATCTAAGCTTAAAATAAGGACATTTCATTAAAAATCACTTTATTCTACATGTCTCATTTAGAAATTCAACCAAAAATTAATCCCTTTGCTGTAATCAGATTCTGTAAAAAGCTAAAAAATTCTGCACTCCTCTACTCAACTGTAAAGTCATGAGTGACTCAGCTGTGACATACTGTCGTGTCACAAAAATTCAGAGATTTTTTTGTGGCTGAGTATGGCTGAACTGCATTACACAGAGTAGATACGTATAATATTATAATACTGGTCCGTAAAAACACTTTATTTAATTTTTTTTCCAGTGTTGGTAACACCTGGGATCACTTGCAAAACTGCTGTACATTCTGATTCTAGTTCTTTTTTTTTCATTTTGTTTAATTACTAAACAAAGAAATGTTATTTTCCTTTAATTTTTACCATTTGTTGCACTGTGATTTTGTTATACTGCACGGAACACATTTTTGAGTTCTCTTAGCAGTTTATGAAATCAAATTGTTTCTCCAATCAAGCATTCTCAGTCCTTCTTCCTCTTTCTTTCTTGGCTTCATTTCTGGATTTAATTAAAGCTTAATGTGTTACTAATCCATATTTACATAGCACATGGAGTTTTGTAAGTTTTTTTTTTTTTTTTTTTGCAAGTCCTTCGATTCATTAATATGCAAAGTGAATTGTGCAGAGATGAGTGCCTGAAGCTTCAAGATGTTGTAGCCACGCTGACTGTGTCATCTGCTGGTCCGCTAGCATGCTGTGAAAACTGAGAGGCTGTGATGGATGTAAAACTGGCAGAGACTTTGCACTGGGTCAGGGACTGGCTGGAAAACACAGGTGCTATCATTTCAACCAAGCGTTAAAAGTGATAGATAGACGTTCACGAAGCCATATGCCGTGTTGTGTTTTCCCCTGCAGGGAAGCACGAGCAGCTCTCATACTGGTAGAGAAGGGGATGGTGGGATTGATTAAATGAATGCTTGAACATCCATGTATGTGTGAAAACGGTCACTGATGATGGATCTGCTGGTTATCAAAGCTGTTTATCAGAGTTTAGTGCCTCTAAAACTAAATGTGGAGGTTAAAAGGAATCTGTGCCTGTCGCCCTGGTTCTGACAATTAATGTGAAGTCAGCGGAGGCCTCCAAACACAGTCAAATTGCATTTGTACACAAAAATAGAAGCACTGCTGAGTTCTGGTTCCCCTACTGACACACTTTTCCTCGCTGTATGCATTGTGTCACGTCTTTTCGGGGCACAAGAAATGAGGTAATAGTGTTGAAGTGATCAATCTTCACATTCGGTATTCATCTACAAGTAGCTTCAGTGCTGTTAAGATGTGTAGTAGCAGAAAGATGTGTACTTGTGATACTATGTGTGGAATCTTTATCGCCACAGTTTCCATTGTCTTCTCCAGTTGCTTTCCTTGTTCCAACTTCTCTTGTAATTTCGTCATTGCAACATCCTGTCCTCTGTCCTGCTGTTCTGTAAGCTCTGTGTGGAGGGGAGCTGACCGAGCCCGTCGGTACCATCCTGTCTCCTGATTGGCCCCAGAGCTACTCCAAGGGGTTGGACTGTGTGTGGCAGATCCATGGAAACGAGGAGAAACGCATTGAACTGGACGTCCAGATGTGAGTATCTTCAAACTTAAAACCAGCACTGATCCATCAGGTGTCTGCAAAGAGAGTCACGTAATGCTTTTATGTCATAAATGTTGTTTCTAAATGCACGTCTTTAAAATCGCAGTGACTCAATCCACTGGAGAGCTAACTGTAGTTTAACAATCTTTATCAGTTGGAGTGTGTTTCATGTCTAAAATACTCAACCTTTATGTGTTACATGCTATGCAGTCCACAGTTGTAAATCTGTAAAGTCTTGGATGCTTTTAGCTCCGTTGGTCTGCTCTCAGCATAAAATCTAAAGATTAGCGTCTTCATTGTGCAGTAATTTCCTCGTGCTGCCAAAATCATCATCTAACATAGGAGTGGTTTGCTGTAAGAGATAATAAAAAGTTGGGTTAATGTGCCTTATAGAATAAAAGTCACTCATGTGTTTGATAATGAATTGCAAAAATGAGGCATTTGTTGTTTGTTATATTTATTGAAAGTCTCTTTACATCCTGACAGCAATCAAAAAAAGAAATGTTCTGGTCATACGAAGTAGAAAGTTTGTAATCTGTGACAGTCACAGGCCTGCAAAGAGCCTGTAAAAATCAACACATTCAGTCTGTAGAAGATACCTTTACTAAATGCCTGCACACACTCTACCTGTGCGTTCATTGTTTATCACCTGATTCTTCCACGAGCACACAAACACAAGCACAAGAATGGAGCCACATGTTACTGCGCCACACAAACCTACAACATGTTGCACCTGGAAACATGTCTGACTGTTTGCAAGTGTTATTTGATGGTATTTACCTCATGTTAGTCTATATTAGCTTTGAACAGGATGTTTGCGAACGTGGTCAAGTTGGACATTTATGTGTTTTTGAGCAAAAGATACTTTCATGGCCCTCTTCCCAGCACACGTTCTCTTCTAGGGGATCACAAACTCATGGTTCGGATCGTATCACTGCATCATTTTTTCACCAAAAAAATCACAAAAGGACGAGAGATACTGCCAAGAACGTCACTGTCAGCTGCTTTTAACGTGCTTCATTCATATGAACACACAGCTTTGTACCTTCTCACCGCAACTCTGAATCAAGATTTAGGGAATTATTTTTTACCAAGGCATGTTTTGCCATTTGTTTGTCTGTCTGTCTCAGATCCGGTTTACTTTCTTTAAAATTTTGAGACAGTGCCTCAGCCTGTGTGGAGGATTATGAGTTTCCTTCTAGTTTTCATAAAGGAACAACTGTAGTAAAACTTTATTTCACAAAATCATGCCAAAACTTTGCAATTAATCTGCAGTTCAAGTGTGCCGAACTTTGGATGTGGTTCCATTATATGCTTTTAAAAATCTATTTTACTCTTGCTAGTTTCTACGATCATCAATGCTCCAGTTTTATTAGACATGAATTAATTTAATGAGCATCCAGCATTGAATTCAGTTCATAACTATACAACATATACGATCCAATTTCAGCTGTTGCTATTCTGTTCCTGTCTTTCTTTAATCTTACAAAACTTTACATTGTGATGCACATTACACGTTATATGAGTATGTTTTGTGCCCCTGTCAGTTGTGTTTTATTGCATTAAAAGTGAAACAGCAAAAGAAAGATAAGCAAAGATAATATCATGTGACAGCTTTACATAATCGGCTGCCTCCCCTGTCTTCTTCTCTCTTCCTCTCGCTGACTAACAAATGCATCAGGTGGGTGGACTGGTGGTCTTTAAAAACAGAATCTCTCCGACGTGAAAGCTCATTTCTCTTTTTTTGTGTATGTGCTTGTCTTTCTCCCTCAGCTTAAACATCCGCCACACTGACGTGCTAACAGTTTTCGACGGCCGTGATCTCATGTCCCACGTCATCGGCCAATACCTGGGTTCCAGGGAGCGTTTCCAGGTCGTGTCGGGAGGGTCGGAGGTCACCATTCAGTTTCAGAGTGATCCTGATGATTCCAGCTTCATCCTGAGTCAGGGATTCCTCATCCATTATCGCGGTAAGTCTAATTATGGCTCAAAATGGGAAAATCATGAACCTGGAATTTAAAATATAAAGAAGGTCAAAGTAAAAATGCATTTCACTGAACAGAACAGAGGAATTTTGAGGAGCAAACTACGTGAAAAAATTATTTCACTTAATGTGCTGTCTTTCCGTGTCCTGCAGAGGTCGAGCCCAATGACACCTGCCCTACCCTCCCTCAAATTGAGTTCGGCTGGATCAGCTCGTCCCACTCGTCCCCCGTCAGAGGCAGTGTGCTGACCTATCAGTGCCAACCAGGATATGACATTAGTGGCTCTGACATCATCACCTGCCAGTGGGACCTGTCCTGGAGCAGCAGTCCACCTACCTGTGTTAAAGGTGAGACAAACCATGATAAACCGTTTTTACCCCAAGCTTAACCAGCTGGCATGAGTCCTGCGGTTTAGGGGTTTGGATGCTTATGATTACAATAGATTTTTTAACTAAATGCACCAGACAAAGAAAGGACTAATATTTTAACTGCATTTCTCCTCTATTATGAATTAGAATCACATATGTCACATGCTTTGTGCTTCCACAGTCCAGCAGTGTCCTGATCCAGGCGAGGTGGTGAACGGAGCGCGCTCAGTCCGTCCTGAGGCCGGTTTTGCAGTCGGGACAGTCGTCTCTTTCTCTTGCAACCAGGGTTATCAGCTGGAAGGTCCCAGCCAAATCTCCTGCCATGGACGAGACACCGGCACCCCTAAGTGGAGCGACCGCAGCCCAAAGTGTGTCTGTAAGTCCTCAACAAAGTATGACACTTCCAGCTCTTCATGTGCAGTAACATCATGTAAACACTGTGCTTTTCTCTCAGTGACATTTTGACTGCAATTACAGAAATGTGAGGAACTTTATAATTAACAATAAGCAACAAAAAGCCATAATAACAAAGAACTACTTCTCTGTGCAGGAATGCTAATATAACTCCATTACTATTTATCACACTCTATAGCTACACTTTATTTATATTCTAAGAACAATGCAAATTTTACATATTATGCTTTTCTACTTATGTTTATATTTTTAGGACATATTTTGCTACCGATGTTTATTTATAAATTTCTACGACTTTGAATGAGAAGAACTGTAACATAAGTAATGTCCCTTCACTGATCAATAGAGCATTTCTGATTCTGATTATCGATTATGTGATACATGGACATATCCATATGTAATTTCATTCCGCCTTGTACATACCTTATACCTTATACCTTTTCTATATATATTTTTAGCGTTACAGTACTTTTGTCCCTTTCTGCACTCAGCTGCTTTTTACTACTTCTGATGCTGATTTCTGCACATTTAGTTTTACCTACAAGCATGTGTCAGTCCTCTCTGTGTTTGTCTACACTATGCAGTAAAGTATGACCCGTGCCCAAACCCTGGAGTCCCCGACAACGGTTACCAGACCTTGTACAAGCACAGCTACCAGGCCGGAGAAACGCTGCGTTTCTTCTGCTATGAGGGCTACGAACTGTTCGGCGAGGTCATTATCAGCTGCGTTCCTGGCCATCCGTCTCAGTGGAACAGCCCGCCGCCTTTTTGCAAAGGTAAATATTTTTACTCTGGAGCTTGTATGTTGTTGTTTTTTTTAACTCTGTTATTCAGTCAAGGAACAGGACATTAGTTGTTACAATGACACAATGCTTTTATTTGTCATTCTTTTAGCCATTTAATAAACATCAGCAAAAAATCTAGTGTCGCCATCCTGAAGGTTAGAATAATTTATGTTATTTCTCTTTTTTCCATTTCACGAAGTGGCATATGAGGAGCTTTTGGATGATCACAAATTGGAAGGTGATTTCTTTTCTCTTCTCGTGTTTATTATATGTATGAGGTAAACTTTGGAGATATTATTTAAAGCTGCTACATGTGGGATTTTAATTCTGACTTTGGCACCAGCTAGCAGTGCTATTTAAAACAGCACTGTAATTGACACTTGTTTTTGTATTTTTATACACTAGAACAGTTTTTACATTCAACATTTCAGTGTGCTTCATATAATTAATGTGGGCAAAGCTATCACAACCAAGCAAACATCAGGCGCTGTCACATTATTTAGATTTAACGACTGTGATGTGCTGGAGATCTGGAGTTTCCTATATTTATTGTGTTTGACAGTTTAGATTTATAACCAAATCAGAAAAAAAACATCACAGCAAATGAAACACTATTTGTACTTTTTAACAGTGTCCCAGTCATTCGAGCCGTCCCATCAGATCCTGAGTGAGAACATTGCTCTGGCAATAATTCTGCCAATCATCCTGGTCATCCTTCTGATCGGAGGAATTTACATGTACTATACAAAGTAAGTAACTCTGGTTAACCAAAGTGACATTTAATGTTTACGCTCATCCGTCTCTGTGTTTTGGAGGCTGCAGCGCTGGTTTGTCCATCTGTTTGGCCCATTTCCTAACAATCTGTACTCTGTCACTCTCAGCATTTGCAGACTAGAATGGAAGCCGCTCTTCTGGAAGTCTCTTTCTCACACACACTCCTACAGTCCGATTACAGTCGAGTCCGATTTCAACAATCCTCTTTACGAAGCAGGGGTGAGTGCAAAGCTAATGTTTAGTTTCCTTTGCTTTGTTGAAGCTGCTCAAACATTAAAGTTCATCCTCTGTTTCTTGCTTTGACCACAGGACACGCGGGAGTACGAAGTATCCATTTAAAGGAGGAAACGCTCTGGTGAGAGTTAAAAACCACAGCAAAATTAAATTCTTTGGGCAGACAAATTCCTTGGTATTAAAAGGCCTCAAGCCCCCTTTTTATCATTCATTTTTAAAAATATCTTTGTGTATATCTGGTTTATCAATAGTGGAAGTGCTTTATTTGGATTTGTTGCACTGATGTGGTGATCTGCCAAATGTGAGTCCGACTACATGATCCAACTTTCTGTATCATTCGGACTGGTGCCTTATGAAGGGTAAGGAAGTGACAACAAGAATAAACACAAGTGTAGGAGAAGAACAGGAGACAGGCAAAGGGTGAAGGGAAATGGATTTGTTTATTTAGTTCAATCATTATGAGGCCAAAAACATTCGAGAACTTGGCAATACTTTATTTGTAAGAATCAAAAGTTACAGTCATGAATCTATAACACATGCTGAATGTTTTTATTTTATTTTTAGAGAGGCTCATGTTACAATTTGCAGTGTTACAGTAAAAGGGAAGAACATTTTGATTTTAATCAAGAGAAAAACTTTTGAAGTCAACAGTCATTTTCTCTTCCTTACTTTTTCTTTCTGTGTGTAACACACACACAAACTGAATGTAAATATCTGACTTAATATTGACTGAGGTTGATATATATATATACTTAATTATATATATAAGCCTCATATATATAAATATACTCTTACACATGGTGGCGGGAGGTTATATATTTTCATTATATACATATAATGAAAATTCAGTGCCAAAATATAATGTTAAATACTTTAATGTCCCTAAGTGTTTCATCTGTTGTTGAAATAGTGTTTACAAAGGCAGTGTTGATTTTATTCTTTGCTGTTTCTAGAATGCATCATCACCCAATGTCACATGACATGCTGTATAAGAAAAGGCGAGGACACGAATGTCATTATGCTTAGAGCATGCACTGATTGTAAATTATATTGCTTATGCTCAATCTTTCCATTATCATTATAGTTACTGACAGTTATCATTGTTATCAAATTTGATGTTGTATGCACTATGTTGATGAAAAATTACAAATCTGGCTGCTTGCTGTGATGCAGTACGTATTTATTTACAAATGATTGTTTGAACAGTGAATGTCGTCTCATTCGCTGTGCCAAATGAAGGATCTTGGAGACTGTTGCTTTGTAGACTTAATTCTTCTCTTATCATCAGTAGCATTTCTTTGCTTCATATATGAATACACTCTTTTGAAGGCAGTAAATTATTTGCTGAGCTGGAAATAAAGTCTCTGTTGAATGGTGTAAAAAATGTTCAAGTGTGCTTTTATTTTTGCCAAATAACTGCATGCCTACATACCTACATTTGCAGAAACAGGCTTTCTAGTAATTAATATTTATAACTCACCCGATTAAATGATTTAATTTTAAGTTTTCTTTTGTTTTTCACAACTACCAACATTTTATTTATTAATAATATTTTTATTATTTATTGTTAATGTTTAGAACTCATTTTTTTTCTGATTTCTTTGACCACTTTATTTTTGAAAAACTATTTTTGGAATTTTTAATAATAATACTGCTACTACTACAAAAACTACTACTACTACTACTACTACTACTACTAATAATAATAATAATAATAATAATAATAACAACAACAATATATATAATATCGGTGTTGCAATCATTGTTATGATGTGGTAATCTTTTTTTATTATAAATTGAATTTATGAATATGCAAATATTTTAGGACTAAGCTTCTTGTAAGTTCAGAAATCCTGTATACTTACAAACATTAAACTCATATTAGCTGCACACAGAAAAATCTTTCTTTTTCTGCATGGAAATTTTACAAAAGATCTTGTAGTTTCAAGCTCAGATCATAGTTTATTCTGTACAGTAAAGGTCAAATATCAAAACACATTTTTGAGCTATAATTGGAGCGTTGCAGTTCCTATTGTCACCACTGGGGGCAGTGGCATTTCCAAATAAACAGGTTCTAAATTTACAGATTGACTGTCTTGATTGCACTTTAAAATTAACTAGTCAATATCCGCATTTTAAATATTTTCTCCTCTGCTATTAGGTACATTGAGGTGGAGAAAATATTAATATTGTAGGTCATTTAAAGAAGAAAATGAACACTATTACAGTCGCCTTTGTGCTAGTAGCACCGTCCGAGAGGTGGCGGTAATTCACGTCCTCTTTTGACCGTAGAAGAAGAAAGCAGCGGAAGAAGATGCTCCAGTTTCGTTTCCGAGTGACCTATTTAGCTTCTTGTATTAGCATCAGTAAATAATCTTTGCGTCCAACAATGGGATTGAGCGTCCGTAATGTAGCTCGGAGTTCGCGTCTTTTGGTGGCTGCCTTCTTCTGATTTTTCACCGAAGAAGAAGCGATACGAAGCAAATGAGCATTGTTAGCTTAAAGCGTAGCAAAATAGCCTAGCTGTTGTTAGCATTGACTGCCACTTTGAATTAGCTCGGCTAAATGAGGCGTTAGCTGCGTAGTATTTTTATTTTTTTTTGGTCTTATTTGGGCTCTTCATAAAAGCTGGCTAGCTGATTATCGATTGCTGGCTGATAAACGGTACACATTTAGCTATCTTAGCTCAGCTGGGTTTACTATTGCAGCTCCTTTGGATGTTCAGTGTGGTAAGTACAGTTCGTTATAAGCTAGCTTAATATATATATATATATTTTTTTTTTTTTTTTTTTACTTAAGTAGTCTGATTTGTTATCACCAACTAGCCAGACCTCATTCAGTTCTCTCATTTGTAATTTTTCATGTGATTGTAGGTGGTACCTAACATAACTTTAATGATAGCTATGGTTAGCTTTACATGGCTGCCTTTGACAGCCTGCGTGCGTGCTGCTAATTTAGGACGACGTATTGTATTGCATTAAAAAGAAAAAAGAAAAAAAGGAACTGTTCCTTATCACTGTTTTGCAGTTTAGGGAAAAAATGTTTTGATCCTTGGATGTTTTTTTCCAGTTACATGAGGAAGACATCATTACAGAGTGTAGATCACAGCATGGGTGTGGCTGAAGAATCCATTATTTATTAGGTACTTCCTCAGTAGGTTATTTGATCTATAACATTTATTTGACAGGCACTAAAGGAGCAGCTCAAATTCAGTGAATTTAAAAGTGGAAAATCAAATAGATGTGGGCTTTATTTCCCATTAGTGTTTGCTGAAGTTACACTGAATCAATATCTTTCATCTTGCCAAAGGATATGTTGTTTTCAGAGCAGGTTTAGAGGTTTGGTGTCGTAGTTGTAATTGGGAATAGTTTGGTACAAAAATTAGTTCCAGCAAACTCGATTGTAGCGTTAAGACTAATAATTATATGCTTACACCTGTCCGTCATGATAACTTGTTCCATTTCTCAGTGATACCTTGCACTGAGGTTTTGTGCTTCTAGTCATTCGTGCTGTGTGGCTTCTATGGGCACAAATAACCATGTCTTCAGTTGTCTAACAATAAGCAAGTACTTATAATTCAGTATAGCCTATTTTAGTGGTAGCAGCTGTTACACGTGATTAACCTTCACAGTTATCAGTTAAAAGAAAACTAGTATTGTATTACTAACATTGAGTTTCTAGTCCTACTTGCACTATAAACAAGCAATCATATTCTTGTACATTACAGTCAGAAAGTGACTCTTCAGCCCCATGTCTGCTGAGGCTTCAGTTGGCGGTCATGCTGCCGACTCTGCCCAGTCCGCTGTTTCCCAGCCTGCTTGCCACAACACAGATGAGCACAGAAATCAGGGTCTGCTGGGGAGCAAGTATGTCAAGTTGAACGTGGGTGGCTCGCTGCATTATACAACTGTCCAGACGTTAAGCAAGGAAGACAGTCTGCTGCGGAGCATATGCAACGGAGGAACAGATGTCACCATAGACTCAGAAGGTAAGCGCATGTGTCCATCTGGTGAGCACTGGCTTTTTCTTTTTTCTTTCTCTCTCTGCTGGACCTACATTGATATTATTTAATGGCATGAATACTGTGCTGTTGAAGTCATACATTTTAATATGATGTTTAGTAGGTAGGCCTGACTGTCTCAGCATATTTATATCAGGTGCTCTGTTTTGAATTTAGGGAGATAAATATATCCTTACTAAATATTTCAATCAGCTTTTATGACAGTTACTCTCACACTTGTGGTGCCATTCAGTTTTGTACTGTAAGATATTAAACATTTAAAATGTGTTGGGGTTGGCAGGCAAGCTCTTGTAATAATTTTTTTTAAAATGAGGTGAGTATCAATATAAGCTCTGAGGCTAGCAGCACATCCACAGCACACAGTGGGGAAGGCTGGCATACCACAACAAATATAAAAGAATGAAAATGACAGAAAATGATTTTCATGCCGTTCCAGGTTGGGTGGTGTTGGACAGGTGCGGCCGACATTTTGGGTTGGTTTTAAACTTCCTGCGAGACGGCTCAGTACCACTTCCAGAGGACCACAGAGAACTGGATGAGGTTCTGAAAGAAGCCCAGTACTACCGGGTCCAGGGACTTGTACAGCACTGCCTCAGTGCCATGCAGGTAAAAACATGATACTTGTGATTTTTAGAACTTTATAATGTACAGGAAAATAAAAACTAATTCATGGACAGGTGTAAAATATAAAGTGCATTACTTTTTGGGATTGTTGTTATAAAGTAATGCATATGCCATGGAAAGCACTTTTTAAAATTCCAGTGTGGAATATTTGAGAGACCTACATCGCAAATACACAATCAGGCTCAGAATTCAAACTCTACAATAACAGGACTGACGGTAAATGTGATTTCAGACACAGCCCATGTGATGGGTGTTCTATTTTTGACAAATAAGCTTCAATATAAATTGCTCGGTTTTTATTTAGTAAATTGATACCTGGAAGAAGAAAATTCTAAATTAAAATAAAAAGTTAGTTGCTAATGTGTTTTAACATACTTTCTTTATTTTCAGAAACAAAAGGATGTGTTTGAAAGTGTGTGTCGCATCCCCATGATCACTTCAGCCAAAGAAGAACAGAAGATGATTGCGACTTGTAGAAAGGTGAATTCATTTTAATCTTAATCATATGGACCGATAACTAAAGTGTGTGTGACGCTGATGGTTGTGAAAAACCTGCATGCCCCCTCCTTGTCCTTTACGTCTTCTTTCAAGAATTGAAGTTGGTTCTCTTTGCATGTACAAACAAATTCTCTGTTTTTTTTTTCTCTACAGCCGGTAGTAAAATTGCAGAACAACAGAGGAAACAACAAATACTCTTACACCAGGTAAAAAAGGCTGACTGGATACGCTACTACCTACTCCTACGACTTTATTCTACGGGAAGTGCTGATTATTCCACACAGTTGATAATTACTTGTTCTTTGTCTGTTTTGTGACCAGCAACTCCGACGACAACCTGCTGAAGAACATTGAACTCTTCGACAAACTTGTGCTGCGATTTAATGGCCGCGTCCTGTTTGTGAAAGACGTGCTTGGGGATGAGATCTGCTGCTGGTCTTTCTACGGTGAAGGCCGCAAGATCGCTGAAGTGTGCTGCACTTCTATCGTCTATGCTACGGAGAAGAAGCAGACCAAAGTAAGCAGCATATCATATTTATCAGTGCAATTGTTTTGCTCTCCGGTGACAACAGCTCGTTTGTTTAGCTAAGAACGAAAAATAAAATGGGGGAAACAGTTAGCCTGGTTCTGTGTAAAGGTAAGAAAATTCTTCCACCAGACCCAAATATTGAGTTTCCTACCTTAAGTTGTAGGGTCTGTGTGATTGGCTGAAAGGTGAAATGGTGTTGACGCCACCACTGATATGAAAAAGTGACATCAAATATAAGTGTTACTGGAAGAAAAATGCCTTCATGATATTAAAGCCCAGTTCTGTGAAGCTCTTATTACGGATGGAATTTTAATAATTTTTTGAGTTGAAGTAATTTCTCAAATTATTTCACAAGTTAATGCTTCATTATATATTTGCTACAGTTTGTCCTACGATTAATTATTGATTGATTGACTTACACTGATTAAAACTACATTGCATTCATTATAGCACAATAAAAGCCACAAGTTTAGCCAAGCCAAGTCTATAACAGAATTGATCAATTTTGAAATTTAAAAAACGAAAAGTTTCAAAATTTCACATTAGAGACAAATTTCAGGACACATTTCTCATGTTGAAATCTCTCATCGAAGCTGAGCCACACTTCCAGTCTCTTCTGTCATGATCACTCTCCTTGTCCTGCTTTTGAGCGCTCAAGCTACAAAACAAATGCTTCTGTACTGAAGTCGACATCCATTCTGTTGTAATTCCTGGTGGCAGAGTGAGTGGATCTACTTAATTCACGTGCAAGTTTTTTTTTTTACTACCTGCTTTAACAGGTTTGTTTTACAAAGGAGGAGTAAAAAGAACTCTCAGCTGTATTGTTTGTCCACAGCAAATACATGGTGAGTCACTCTCTGCCCAACATCTGTGTTATCAGGTTGAGTTCCCTGAAGCTCGAATATTTGAAGAAACCCTCAATATACTCATCTATGAGAATGGCAGAGGTTCTGGTCCAGGAGGCTTACACCTTTTAGACTCAAGAGGCTCAGGTTCATCGCTGGGAGCTGGCCAGTCAGAGGAGGAGGGCGCCGTGGGAGGGGACAGACGAGTCAGACGGATCCACGTAAGGAGGCACATAATGCACGATGAGAGAGGGCACGGCCAGCAAACTGTGTATAAGGACTAATAATGTGAAATCATAAGACTTGGGAGAGTGACTTCATGTATGTTTTTTGTTGAATGCTAGCACAATGAAAGATCAGAGCAATAGCTTGATATTTAGTTATTTCACGACATGTCTTTAGACATCATTGCAGAAATGTTGGGGTTGATGACTGATGTGTAAATGAGGGTAGAGTTGTTTGGATGTAAAGAAAATGCTTCTGTTTACAAGAACACAAGTTGTGTACATTCTATAAATAGGAAATATGTTTTTAAAAAAAATCACCTGGGACTGAAAAACTGGCATAAATATTACTTTTTCAGATGTTAATGAACTTCCCGTAAGTTACTGAATGGGCCTGAAGCCCAACTCCAAACCCATTGGTGGAGTTTTTTTCCTAGAGCAAACAACCTACCGTTAATGTGGGTGTTAATGATATGCACTGGCAGCCTCCTCTGTGTTTGACTTGTAGGTAACACTGTCAGTTTATTCAGGTTGTGAAACATCTGTTGCCTTTTTCTCCATTGGCCTGAGTTGCCGTCGAGCAGCGACGGACAGAGGACGGTGAAGTTGAGCCTAGTTGTGTTAACACTGGAAAAAAATAAAAAATAAAAGCAGAATAGCCATTTCTAGTGAGGTTGTCGATGAATGAGATTGTTGAGCAGCTCCATTTTCTTTATTTAAATTATTACAGCTGTTGCTTCCAGATGTTTTTTATTAATTTATGAACCTAATTTATTGTCGCGTATTTAACTTTTGTATTGAATGCAATCTTTGTGTTAACTAGCGCTCAGTTGAGTTTTAATTTCCAGAACGATACGGTGCACTCTTTATCACAGATCAGATTTTGAATTTACTCTTGTAAATGGATAAATAATGAACTTAAATTTCAGTTTAATGTTTCAAGAGGAACCGTGACCATTTCTTTAATGTTTTTTTCTGAGCCATGATCTTTCACTTCTTTTGTCTTACACCAAACTGCAGAATTTTGCTCAAATTAATTGGCCATACCGTGATGATAAATGTAATAATACTGGGTTGTATTTCCCTCAGGGAGAGGATAAATATTTTTTTTCTAATATTCACTGGTGACTTGTGTAAACCTAGTCACTCTGATTACTGGCGGAGACATTGAATGAGAGCAATATGTATCTTGGACCCCTTAGAAAATAAACTTGGAATACCTTGAAATATGCACTAATTTAACTTCCGTCCAACAGTGGTCATGAAAATGTTCTAAATAAATGACTTTAATGAAATCCACTTCTGGTTTCTTGGTCTCATTTTCCCTTTTGTGCCTAAAGTGTAATTAAATAATGCGCTCAGGCACATATATGTTACATAAACAAGTGTAAGACATCCTGATGTGCTTCAAAAACATTTCATTTAGGCAACCATTGTTATGGATGCTGATTCCAAGCTATTTAACAACAGCTATCTGCTTATTATATCCCTCTTTGCTAAACGCCAGGACAGCTGTCCTCTAGTCATACTGAAATTCTCTTATTTTAGTCTTGTTGAGTGATAGTTTAGTTTAGATTATCTGTTAATTTTACATACACAGTTTACACATGAAAAAATGCAGATTTAAAAAAATATAAAAATTCTGCCATCTGCTGTGAATTTTATAATTTTCACAGTTTCAATACATCATATTTTAAAACAATTTATTGTGTCTACTTGCAATTCATTTTAATATCAAGCGTGTCTTTTGCAAGACTCTTTAACCACTATGAGATAATTCAGTCAAAGTATTTATTTATTGAACCTTCTGACAAAATAAAGAAACATAAAAATTAAAGATCAATTTGCAAATATGAGTTGGTGTCATTTTTGCAACATCTGATCTGTGTACTGCATGTGTCTGATTGTATACATCCGGTTTTTCATGGGATCACCCTGATGATGTGAAGGTCTCAAAACTCATTTATCAAATATGATGCGCTTGGCATTGCAGGGATAATTAAAACAAACAAACAAAAAACTATTAATCAATACATTTGTACATTTCATCATAACTGAATTGTTAAAATGTGAGTGAATTATGTATGCATGTAGTTATGTTAAATTGGAGAAAATTAAACATGTATCTTTGAGACAAATTACTTTTTTTTTTGGGTGGGAGGAGTAAAAAAATTCTGCATTTAATAAAATCTTTAGTTTTGTGAAACATAAAGTTTAAAATGTATGTTTATTCTGTTGAACTCAAATGTCTAAATTGAATTAAAATTGTAAGAGCAGTAAGTCCGTTTCATTTCAACAGCAGCTGTTTGGTTTAATATGAATTTGCACTGTGTGACCCGCAGTATTTGATCAATATGGTTTCAATAAATCAATGAGTATTTCTAGGGGGCGTGGCCTGGTGTTACGTCATCACGCACGACGTGGGATTCCGCCGCCAAAACAGAAACAGCGCAGAGTGAAATCATGGTGTCAGACAAGGAGACAGCAAACATCCGCAGGTTTGTGTGCGGTCAACTCCGCGACGAGCCAGACCTCAGGTACAGTTAAAGCTTTCTGAAGGTGTTCAAGCAGGTACTATTTGTATTTAGCATAAGAACTGAGGCTTGTGTTTGGTTGTGTGAGTTGGGAGGTAACTTTTGCTAACTTCATGTGGAGTTGCACTGGAGGCAGTTAGCAACAAACCTCACCGTGATGTACAACTTTAATATTCATGATTTAAATTGTCACACGAGCTGAATAATGCATATTTGACGGTCAGTCTGCATTTTTAAAGTGGCATTTACGAGTCATTTTAACAACGTTGTGTTTCATGCGACGCTGTCAGTGTCTGAGCTAGCTTGTCAGACTAGATGGGCTAGCTGTTAATGATTAAACATAAGTTCAGTGACTGATAGCAAGAAGCCTCCAAAAAAGTGACTGCTGCTGGTAAGAACTGGTATCTTTCATGTGAAGACTGACAACATTTTTGTTATATAGTTTAATTAAAACAATTAATCATGCAGGCATAAAATTCGTTTTTCTTGTTAAGATGGTAAGACAAAAAAAGACGAAATATTTAGTTTCATTGGGTAAAACTACAACAAAATCCTAAATACCACTTACAGATGTGTCTTCGTAAGGTGTTCTTCAGGATGACAGCTGATAATCAATATTAACATGGGACGTTCCAGATACAATGAAATATGTTATGTTGAAATACTTTCTTGCACATGGAAAGTAAATCTGTATGAAGATTAAATATCTCTCACACACCTGCATACAGAAGTAATATATGCATGACTAATTAAGAAAACACTGACTGTGCTTGACTGCCTTCAACATGTTTGTTTCATATTCCAACATAATTTTTTGGTCTGCAACAATACAAGGTGTCTAATGGTGGCGTAAAGATTTAATAAATAAACACAGAGGATCGCCTCATGTGGGAAAATGCAAGTTAGTTTAAAGTTCTAATCTTGTTTCTTATGCTATTTATGGTCAAACATGTTTCAGCAATAACCAGCCTTTGCATTTACATTTCATCGTTAGATCTTTATAGCACAGACAGGTGACAGGGGTCTTGCTCAGGTGTTCAGCCGCCACCTGCCACCAGAACAGCTTGACTTCTCCTTGGCATTAATTCTCCAAGATCCTACCAGAGAGGTGGATAGTAATTCGTGTTTTTTTTTTAAGGTGGTGGGACAGAGCGCTGCCTAACACATCGGTCTAAAATCTCCCATCGATGTTTAATTTGGCTGAAAATATAGTGACTGCGAAGGCCACAGAATATGGAACCCTTGAACCCTTCAGTCGCCCCTCATGTTGTATGGATGGAGGCATTTTCAGCCGCATCCGTCAGGATAGAAATGTTTCATCATAGGATAAAGGCGATCATGCAGAAAAACTTCATGCTGATGAGTCGTGACCCTTTCCTCTAAGGGCCGAGGTTGACCCAAACTATGTCAGTTAAATTACCCAACTGTTCTCTTTTCCTTTAATTCGTCACCCACATGTAATTTCTCTATAAACAGTGCACTTCAACCAAGTCTACATATAAATAGAAACTTGAGTTGTACTCTCCATTGTTACCTACAATGTCACAAACTCCAAGTTTCCTGCACAAAGGTATTGGATGTGCTTTCTGACTTGGCTTGTTTTTGGCAGGAAAAAAAATCAGATTTGGTTAAAATGTATTATTGGAAATTTGACATCCTATAATTTCCCAGTAGTGACTGCAATTTAAAGAAAAACTAAATTCCCTTCTTAAGTGCCAGCGTTTGTGGCCTCTAAATTTTGCATTTGAGGTTCCGGACCTACATTTTATCTGTCATAATGTTTGTGTAAATTAGTACAGTGTAGGTATGTTAGATGCTTATCAGTGTTTTAAAAAAATACATAAGTGAAATGTGTTTGTTGTTGTACATAATCTCCTCATTTACACTCACTAATCTCTCTTCTGTTTTATTCCAGCACACTGACCTTAGGAATTTTAAAAAAGCGTTACCTGGCACATGTAGGATGTGACTCGCTAAGTCAAGATGCAAGAAATTTCATGAAAGAGGTGGTTAAAGAGGAGCTCATGAAAATGCAGGTATTTAAATTTTCCTATATAGCCTATGAGATACCGTATGTATAGTTCCTAACATCTTTGAGGTATTTTTGGTGTTTATAGGAGGTATCGTTTTAGTGCTGTAGTTATTAATGTCATTGATTTTCATACTAGGATGATGACAGCAGTGGAAGTGAGTTGGAGACCAAGAAAACCCAGAAAAAAAGGAAGAGAGAAAAAGAAACCGATGAAGAGATAAGTGAGAAAGAAGATGAATCCAGGACTAAGAAAACCCGAGTCAATCATTCAAGCTCATCATCAGGTATGATATGACTACTGTTTGAAATGTGTTTAGATGTCTGTATATGTAATAATGTATTCTAACATATTCTACTTTGCTGTTAGTCCATTTAAAATCTCCAGGACTACAACTAACAATACAAAATAATGCTGTAAGGGCTCATTAGTTTCGTTGTAAATGAGCATTTTCTGGAATAATGGTTTGGTTTAAAAAAAAAAATAAAATAAATACAATTGGTGTCAGATTTATTTGCAATATTTCAGTGCTAGATCTTCATTGGACCTAAAATTGCAAATTGATAGATCTTGTGTAGTGATTGGCGTCATCAAAGACCCAGATTGTTCCATCTACTGTGATTATTAAACTAAGAAATTAAAAAAATCACTTTTTTTTTTAACAAACTGGGACTAAAAAAAAACAGGGTTTTCCTGGCTCTTAGTGAGCTGATTACAATACAGGCAATGACTGTTGTTAAATCTATGTATTTTCTTGTTATTTCTGACCATTCGGTAGATAAATAAGTCTATTATTTTTGAGCAAATCACATGACAATTTGTCAAACTGGTTAAAAATTTAGTTGCTTTTATTATTCTCAATTCTTATCATTTTGACACAGCTGATTGGATGCATGCTCAATCTCTTCTGGTGTACACCAAAAATTCTTCCTTGCCAAAAAAAAAAAAACCTTGACAAACATTTCTCATTTTTGCTTGACATAAACATCTCAACAGTTATCTATAGAATTGCATTTACAATCTAATGCCTCATTGTTCCAAGTCCTAATAGGACGCATGTATTCAGTCATGCTAACATGTGTCTGGATTGCTTCTTTACAAACCATGGCATTTTGTTGTTTTTTTTTGTATCGGTGTGGTTATGAAAGAATCGGAGGAGAAAGAGGAACACAAAACAGGAAGTGAACAAAGCAGTGATGAAGAACAAAGTCAGTCTGACGATGCAGAGCAAGAGGTGGAGAAATCACAGCCACATACAAATGGAAAAGGGAGACGACAGATAAACAGTGACGACTCCTCAGGTGAAGAAGACACCAAGTCAAGAACAAAAGGGAATGAGAGTACCTGTGGCGACAGCCCAAAGGAAATGGAGAAAACGAAAGAAAACGCTACAAAGAATGGAGTGAAGAAAAACAGCAATACAAGTGAAGGAAAGAAAACGCCACAGAGTGATAAAGAGAATGACATTGACTCGGACAGCAAGTCAGAAAGAAGTGACAAAATCAGTGATAATGAGTCCTCTGATGACAGTGAAAAAGGTGACGCAGCAAACTTTCCATTTCCATACAACATGTATTTATTAATTTAAACTGTCACGATTGTTTATATGGTCTAATACGTCCGACTGTTGTGTCAAACAGAAGAAAAAGTATCAGTAGGAAAGAAGAACGACGGCACAGACTCAGATTCATCGTCACTTCCTTCTTTGGAGGACAAACGGGATAGCGGGACAGAAAATGCACGAGTTGGGAAAGAGAAAAAGAAGAAAAAAACTGTGAAAAAAGATGACGACACTAAAGGTCAAAAGGTGAGTCCATGAGTGATGCTATAAATTAGAATTCAATTCAATTCAAAAAACTTTATTTGTCCCCCCAGGCCAATTTAGGATTCAAGAATAATTCAGAAGATTCAAGCCCTGTTACGTTTCTGTTGAGTTATCTGATGTTTGTGATTAGTTTTACTTTGATCATGTGACCTGAAATAAAGTTGAAATTTACTTCCTAGAAATATGGTCACACCACTAAAACCGATTTATTCACTAATGTACTTGATGCTGCACAACCCGGTACACAGTTTCACTAGACCGTAGCGAAACTGACTGGTTCAGTTTAGAATCTTTTACATATTGCAAAGGACCAGCTGGATTATTTTGAGTCTCCATCCAGCTCTTTATCCTGGCTTGTATACTGAGTAAAGATGTAGCTGAATTCATTTGATTGTCCTCCATGCTTTGAGTTTAGTCAAGTTCAGTCAAAAACGAGCTTTGACATTGGATCACCGCAGCATTGGGTAATTGAAGAGGCGAAATCTCCGCTGCATTACGCTTCATTAGTCTGCCTTTATTCTGCAGGACGACAACAAAGCAGTTGTTCGGCTCAAACGTTACATTTCTCTCTGTGGCGTGAGGAGGAATTACAAGAAGCTCCTTGATGGCTGCCGCTCCGTTCGCTCCAAGGTGGCTGTTTTGAAGAAGGAGCTTGAAGATCTTGGCGTCGATGGTCAGTGGGAATACAATCACCTCTTCTTGGATAACACATTCTGGCCTTTTTTATTTATATTTTTTTAATTTAAGTTTCACATATGCCTATTAATGGGTGTCTCTAAACTCAATTTTCTATTGAATTGTATTCAAATAGTGAAGAGTAGAAGGAATATTTGTGATGTTTAGGAAACCAGTCTACACTATCTGTTGCCGTGACTGTCTTATAGTGTCACCAAAAGGCCAAATTTACCCCCAAAAATCAAAACTCATCTGCCAGTCTGCTGCTGCATTTATCAAGGACTTGATTCTGTAGATTGTTCTGGTTTGATAGCTGTGGCCAAAGCAAAAACCTTCAGTCCACTCTATGTAAGTTGATAAAATTACAATTCAATTCAATTTAAATACGTTTATTTATCCCCTAGGGGCAACTACAGTGTGATATTGACTATTGTTGTTTTCACAACTTGCAAATTTTTATTAACTCTAGTGACCATGTTTTAAAAGTAATAAGGCTTTTCTTTTTTTTTTTTTTTGCACAGGTCAGCCATCTATCAAAAAATGCAAAAAAGTCCGAATGCAGAGAGAGGAAGCTCAAGAAGTAGCTGATCTTGATGTCAACAACATCATCACCACACAAGGTAAGACTTTCACTTTTCTTTGAGGGAAAAAGTAGTTGATTTTTTCAAGGAGCCAAACTGCTAAATGCATATACACTCATGTTGTGACTCTTTTCAAACACACACTTAGTTGTGGCCAAATTCAATGTGATTCTGAAAGGAAGAGGAAAGGCTTATGCCATAAGTGTAGTGGTTCACTTGTTATAAATCATGAAAATAATTCTCGTGGTATATGAATTGTGAGGTGTTATCTTGAATATTCCTGCTCAGTCTAGTGTCTTTTAAATTAAAATGTATAGAGAAGCTGAGAAGATTCAAAGAAGAGCTGCTGAACTATTTTCAGGCCTGAAAGAGATATCACATGAGAAGATGTTAAGAAAATTACAGTTACATACAACAACAAATGACACTGTGTGTAGTCATGAAGCTGACTTGTGAAGAGTATTTACAAAATTTGTGATATATTAAACAAGAACAAAATAATAATAATTTCAATAAAATTTGCTTGTTCTACTATAAATACCATAACTAGAGGAATTTATGTTTTGTTGTTTGTTTCTTGTGAATGTCCCTATAACTTGTGCATGGTTTTAGATGCAGTTTAAACATTGTTGAAGAACACATAGCACTACAAAAATGAATAAAAATAACTGAATAAATTTAGACTTTTGTGTCGAGAAGTGAACACCTGTTGTAAATGTTATTGTTGCTCCTAAATCCGTAATTTTGAATTCATTTGTCCAGTAACATAGAATAGAATAGAATAGAATAAAACTTTATTGATCACTTTGGTGGAGACCTCAGGGAAATTGCTGCACCAGCAACAACAACAACACCAACACAACCACAGCAACAACAACAACAACAACAGTAATAATAATAATAATAATAATAATAATAATAATAACAACAACAACAACAATAATCGATATATTTGTTATCATTTGAAATTACCTCTCATGTGGATACCTTTCTCTCAGGTCGACCTAAACGCAGACAAGCCTCAGCGTGGCAGCAACCAGACCCTCCGTCGTCGGCGTATCAGCGCTCTCTGAACTCTGACTCTGACAGTGATCAGGAACAAAACGGACGCAGAAAAGTAACGGAATGGGCAAACCTACGAGGGATCATCAGCGATGACGCTGACAGCGACTGACGGGGACAGTTCCTCTTGCAAGTATACAGAGAGAACTCAAATGTGGACATTACTTTTTCTTTAATTGCTTCTGCTTTGATGCTAAACGTTTGGAAAACCTTATTATTATTAAATTTTTCTACGTGTTTAAGAGGTGTTACAGTTCAAATGTATCAGTGGAGAGTAAAATTAAACTGCTTTTTATGTTTATCTTTTGTATGTTCTTTTTCAAATAAAAGTATTGTCAGCAAATGGAGTTACGTGAAGTAGTGCTTTGCTTGAATGAAGGAAATAACGTATATATGTATATTTAACAGGCAAAGAATGACGGCGCAGTAGCAGCTAACTTCAGCCTATTAAAGTGTCGGCCTTTCAATGGAAAGAAAGAGACATTTTTTCTGTATTTTTGGAGACAACAAAGGCCATTTACTACATAAGCAATTTTAAGTGAAAAAAAATTGCCCGCATCGTCTTTCCGGAACCATTCGTTGTTTTGGGTCAACGAAGTATTTTGCAGACGGACCTGTCCTACGGCGTTAAATGTCCGGCCTCGTTCGTTCAGGTCAATTTTGTATTTCTCGTTATTTATTTTAATATTTGCTCAGGTGTTGCGTGTTTATGTATATCTTTATATTAGGCTTTTAAAAAACGAATTTTATCGTGTCAGTATTTATTCTCAGCCAGAGAACGACGCTGGACTCAAAGTCAGACCCGCGTGCATGTGACCCTCAGACTGCTGCACACAAACCGCTTCACAGGTAGTTCACTGAAAAAAGGATTACAGTTTATGTGGAGTCTAGATCAAAACAACTGAAATATATTTTTTAATGTCTTTATAATTTAAATTTTTTTTAATCCCTTAAAGTTTGTAAATCTGTGGTCAGATGTCCTGTGGTTAATAAAATCGGACCAGTGGTGTGTGAAAACATTTAACGTTTTCTAATGTTGTCCCCAGTGGTGTGCTAGTTTATTGTTATTTTTTATTTTTTTAATGTTTGTGTCCAAATAGACACCCATTAATCTGTTGATCAGCTGTACTAACCAGCATATTTCTATGAAAATGTGAACAGTCATGTTGTGTTTTGTATCACCGGCTGTTTTGAGTGTGGAAGGAAAAGATAATTGTAAGCAGAAAAAACTAGTGAAGCAGAAATTAACAAGGACCATACAGTAGGTAGAAATAAATCAGGTCTGCTAAACTCTGTGTGTGTGTGTGTATACTGGGAACCCAAAGCTCTTCTTTCCCATAATATACTGTTTTATGCAACAAAAAGAGCACGTATTTCATGTTTTCCTTGTGAGTTTTGGTATATTCTCAGAAATTCTATTTACTTAGACCCAATGCTACACATTTCCCGCAGGAATGGATGATGACGCACCCGAAGAGGTCTTTGCTGAACTCAAGAGCAGGCCAATCGGCGGTTGGGGTGTTGCTCAGATAGCAGCCGGCACTGGACTTGCTGTGTACGCTATGTGGGTGGGAATCCTGCAGCCGGGCTTCCGAAAAGTCCCTTTGAGGCTGCAGGTGTGGTCTGCATTCTTCTTAACACTTTGAATAAATATTTATGTATAAATGCTCACACAATCTAGCTCAGACGTCACTTCTTATCTCATTAAAATGTCTTTCAGGTCCCCTACATTCCTGCCAGCAAAGCCCAAGTACAGAATGTGATGACGCTGCTGAGAGGTCGAAAGGGGGGCCTGGTGGATTTGGGATCTGGTGATGGCCGCATTGTAAGTATACATAAGATTTATGGGCTCCCTTTTCCTGGTTTGATTCGTAACAGGTTTTGGTTGTGGCTACTTTTAACCCTTTAGGTATTGGAGGCCCATCAGCGTGGATTCAGTCCTGCTGTTGGTTATGAGCTCAACCCCTGGCTCGTTCAGCTCTCCCGCTTTCATGCATGGAGAGCAGGCCAACATGAAAAAGTGTCGTACCGACGAGAAGATCTCTGGAAGGTTTGTCCACTCGTTATGGCATGAGTAACATTAAAATTTCCACAGTTGCTACACCAAAGTTAGAGCAACCACCAGTAATATGTCACTGCAACGTCACGACAGTTTGAGTGGAAATGTGCCCACGCCCACAAAAGAAAAAAAATACCAACAATAGCACAGTCAGACTGCCACATACCCACCTTCACTGCTGACAAGAGTTTATTAGCAAATACAGGAGTGAACTGACCAAACCTCCTCAGAAAGAATATACATCAGCATTTTGTTGTGCTTTCGACTTACTTTATTCCTGTTTGTGTGTGTGCGTAGTTAATGATCTGAAGGTATAGCAGTTTATTTGTCCTCCATTCAGCAGGAGCCCTCAGTGTAACACGGTCAAGGAATAAATAGCAACAACAGACTGCAAGAATTTTAATGGCAACAAAAAACATTGTTGTCATTAATGTTACAGTTGTACCTGTCTTATTTAAAACAGAACTGTAATAGCAGCTAAAGACTTATTGATATCCTGCTTTGTATCTCATCACAGGTCGACTTGTCAAAATGCAAGAATGTTACAGTATTTTTGGCTCCCAGTGTGGTGAGTAGTATAATAAGCATATAGTTTTAACTGTAAACTAATGTAGAATAATGCAGAAATAAAGAGAAAATTAAGTGAGCTTATTTGAAGCCAGGTTTTAATCACATTGATGGTAAACATTTTGTATATATATAATTTCCTATCTAAATGTTCTTCCACTAAGGAAATTTTCTAAATAGAAATGCAGCTTTGCTTATTTTATTTTATTTTTTCTGGAATCCTCTACTCTAAGCCATGTGACTGGAATTTATTTTTTTTAAAAAGTCCTCAAAACTATGAACTTACAAGGTTTCTTTTAGATTCTATAAAGCAGAAAACACAACTCAGGAAGTATCTGCATGTGGTAGAGGTGCACTTTTGCATTGTTATGGGTAAGTACTGCATTATTTTTCTTGTGTTTCTAGCTTTCACTGTTGCAGGAGAAGTTGCAGGCTGAGCTTCCTGATGATGCTTTAGTGGTAGCTGGTCGTTTTCCTCTCCCTGACTGGAAACCCTGCAGGATCGAAGGACACAGTGTGGACAGAGCTTGGGCTTATAACATGCAAGCACAACGACAGAACATCTGCAAGGAAAATAGCAACCCCATAACCACAGAGAGTAAGAAGGAACTAAGCAAGGAGAAAGCATCCATTTGAAGCTACATGGATTTTGCTAACTTCTTGACCTCGCAAACTGATAACATGGAATTATACGCTGTATAATTAACTTACTGCTCATAAGCTGTAAATGTCCTTCACTGGAATGTTGAGGATGTTTAACCAGACTTGAACCCACCTACAGGAAGATGTTTCTGACAAACTATTATGTCTGTGTGCTCTACTTGAACCCTAAAGTTACAGTATAATTTTTACACAAGTGCTCTCTTCTACAGTTTTGATCAAACGTGTCCTTGATTTATTATCAGCAATATCTGATCCACAAACTCCAGAGCAAAAGATTGTGTTGACATGAAAAGAAAAATCCCTAAAAAGGAGCACGAGCTTTTAAATTTTGTCATATGTGCTTTTATTTCTGCTTTTATTTAAATGCTGGAGAACTGAAAGCAATTTTCTGTTTTAAGCATTCTATTATTTTCAATCACTCGTAATTATTAATTAGTATTTCTTAAACAGATCTATTTATAATGAGAAAACTTATGAGGGATTTTGAAATATCCAGGTAGGGACAACTAGTACTAAAAATGTGAGTGCATTTTTGGATGAGGGTCAAAGGTGCTTCGTGCTAGAAAAACATCTTCGTGTGAGCAGCTGTGTGATGTGGCTCTTGAAGTGACTGTAACACTTGAACCTCTGAAGCCCATAAGGGTTCCTCGTGTCTAAACATGCAGTACCAACAGCATAGTTGTTATGCTGCAGTGCATCCGTTACTGTATGACATAGTTACCTCTTTGTATATATGTACGTGTACTGTGTTGTTAAAGTTATCCAACAAATAAAGATATTTATTCTTATCTATGTGTGGTCTGTAAACTGCCCTTTCTCATGTGTAATATGAAGGACAGTTTGTTGCATAAATGTATGTGCATAGTGTAAGTAAAGTTTATTTATGTAGCACCTTTCACAGCACAAAGTCACAAGCTGCTTAACAGAGTGAATCAACAACATGTAACATATCTGACATGTTCATTCCATCCATCCATCATCTATACACCTCACTAGGTTCGTGGGGGGCTGGAACCTATCCCAGCTGACTTAGGGTGAAGACAGGGGACACCCTGGACAGGTCGCCAGTCTATCACAGGGCTACACTTAGAGACAGACAACCAAGCACACTCACATTCACACCTACAATTTAGAATCACCAATTAACCTCAACATGTTTTTGGACTGTGTGGGAGGAAGCCGGAGAACCCGAAGAGAAGCCACGCTGCACGGGGAGAACATGCAATCTCCACGCAGAAAGATCCCAGGTGTCCTCACCGGGATGCAAACTGGCGACCTTCTTGCTGCGAGGCAACGGTGCTAACCACTGCGCCACCTTGCAGCTCATGTCCTAGACAAAACAAGCAATATTGGTTTACAGTGAATAAACATGCAATTGCTGTAAACAACTACAAATATATATATGTATATATCTAAAATAATGCTGCACCAACTACATTATTCAAAGCTGCTCAGGAGAAACTCATAGCCTTTGTGTACAACTTAAAGCCTTAAACTGGATGTTATTCGTGAGATAAGATGGGCTGTGGATTGAAGGAAAATATATTTTTTTAAGTTGTGCAATAAACCCTGGAAAGTCCCACAGATATTTTGCCTTTGATTAGATCCGCTTTGATTAAACTTTAATGTTAGTGCACAGAGTACAAGTACTAAGACAATATAATTTAGTTTCAGAATTAATCAGAAGTACCAAGGAAGTAGTAAAATAGTTTGAATAGCTTCAAGGGAAGAAGATTAAGGGAATAAATATGCTAAAATATACACAGAATGAGCATTATTAACTGTATAACCAGTGCATAAACGGGAATGGCTAAGTCCAGTGTTGTATTTTATTGTGTGCATTTAATGCTTTTGATCAGTCAAAGCTGATCTATCAGAGGTTGAATTTAAAATCTGTATCTGGATAGTTACATATATTTTTCCTTTTCTATTTCTCTTATTTAAGCAGATTTTATTATTATTATTATTATTATTATTATTATTATTATTATTATTATTATTATTATTATTATTATTATTATTGTGCAGTTATAGATTTGCAAGTGAGACGTTTGCAATGTTATCTTATGTTTTGTTTGTTTTTTCTTTATGATCCCCTATTAACAGTATGAACACTGTAAATATATAAATAAAATAGGCTGTTGGTAATATAAGTGTGCTAGATAAATAATATAAAGATGGGCTTGTGTAGAGATAAAGATTGGGATGAATGAGAGTATGAGCAGTGTGCTATGTAGTCTTGTGTTTTTATATTTGTGGAATGTTAATTTATTTAAATCCAGTCATGTTTCTGTATTTGATCTCTGTTTGAACTGGTTGTTTTTAAGCAGAGAGAAAATTTTATGTGTTCACATTAGCTTTTTGTATATGCTTTATAAGGAAATTAGAACAAGTAACATTAAAATTGCTTTAAATTCTATTCAACAGTCCTCAATTCTTAATTATATTTACATTATGACTCTCAAAAATCTTATATCTGTGTATATTCTCAGCCATCCAGGTCATGGTAATCCTAAATTGGGTTTCTCCTTTTGGTCCGTGAGGACTTTACACCTCTCATCCAAAAACTCCAAAACTTTCTGTCCAAATAAAACAAATAAATAAAATAAATAAATAAATAAAGTGCAGTAGTTTGAAGGATGTAAGCGGGGATGGTTCATGTGTTTTTGTGACTGGCTTGACTCGGGCTGATCGGGTTGGTTGGTTGCGCCGATAGAGGAAGTTGCGGAGCGGAGCCTGTAACCTGCAAGCTAGCTGTATTCTCGAGCCGCCCTGAGTACTGAGACGGGGAATAACAGGAACAAGCGCATTTGGTGCTGCATATGTAGAGCTATTACACATTTTTTGTTTGTGTGAGATATATAACTCGGACGTGCACACTCACCCGCTTTGAATTCAGGAACGGAAAAAGACAAGTTGTCGTGACCAGAATCATGTCAACGGTTGACAGCTAGCTGAGGAGAAAACTCTGCCTTCATCCTTCTAGAAAAAGCTAACCAGTTAGCCATCCGCTGCAGCGTTAGCCACTGGGTCATTTAGCGTCGAAATGCCTGATGTAGGACGCTAATTAACGGCGCACACTTCTCCGGTGCTGTTTTAGCTGCTGTTGAGAGTAAAGTCGACCTTTTTGCCGGCAGAGTTGTGTGTAGAGTATCGACCCAAGCAGTCGAACCGAGCATGATGCACCCCCTTTGCGGTTACGTTAGCCAGCAACACCTTAGCTAACGTTAGCTACAGAGTTGGCTAGCTAGGTCACTAATGTGGGCTTATTGCTGTAATTAGTCAGTGACTGAGTAAACTGAAGAAAGCATCTGAGCCAGCTAAACATGGTGAGTGAAATTTAACGTGTTTTATTCAGCTACTTGTTTGTGTCCTGTCTTGTTTGCTAATAGCTAGCGCACTGCATAAGCCTTTGATTCCTATGTGTAAACAGGAAGACCCGGTGTTTAGTTAATAATGTAAATATGTTTCGTTACGTTTGGCTAACGGCTAATATGACTGTATGGATCTGTGTGCCGGGTATGTCATCTAACGGTTCGGGGCCAGGTATTCCACGGGATGTGTCAACTCGTCAAGCCATTTCACGGTGCAAGACGCCCATCTTGCAACACCGAATATTTTCTTTCAGCAGTGTTTAGCCTCGGCAAGTTGTGGCTCATTTGAGGAATTCAGACCTGCCTGCCACAGGGGCTGCTCTTTAAAAAAAAAAAAAAAAATCCACAATTTGTTATCTCGCATTTGCTTAGGCAGGGCCCGACTTCCGCCACACGAGAAAGCCAGATTGCAGTTTTGAGCTGCCAAAGCATATTTCCATGAGGCTGTGCCAAAACGTGCACACCAATCAGTGATACATGTGTAATTTTCGATTATAGCCATGTGCAGGTATGGACAAGTGCAGATAGGTTTCCAGTTAAGGGGTTTGCATGAGCTGGATCATATGACTGCATGCACTTAGATGACATAAATCGGCATAGGAAATGCTCAGATATCTAGACATGATACGTGAGTGTTTGTGCATTCTTTTCTTTACTGTGGGTTTCTTGTGTGTAAAAACGTGGCTTCATCTGCATATAGTATGACATGCACATCACTGAATGTTATATTTCTAATGTGCAGATACATATATTTCTCATTCTAATTGATAGATAGTGATAGGTTAGTAATATATGGTCTACATGTGCTGTTTGAATCTAACCTTATCATTTATTATTCATTAGGCTTCAGAGGAGGCATCGCTACGCGCGCTGGAGAGCCTGATGACGGAGTTCTTTCACAGCTGCACAACTAATGAGCGAAAAAGAGAAATAGGTAGGCTTGAGGCTTGTAAAGCCTGTAACTACACATTAGAAGAAAGGTCATGAATCTGTATTATCACACTTGTGTTTCCACCAAGCCAGTTTAAAATTTAAACAACAGTTATCGGAGTTATTGCTAAAACGATGCAGAGCCTAAGTACATGAAACAAAGGGGCGCCCCAGTAACCTAATGGGTCATGCACAAACCACATGATTGTCAATGGTTCAGGCTCTAAGCCATTTAGCACTTTGCTTCATGTTTACCCCTTACTCCTCCTCATTTCCTGTCAGCATCTCCACTGACATTGTTGAGTATAAATGACATGCTACAGAAACGAGACCTAAAAATGTGAATGAAGTCTGAGAAACTTGTTTGACTTTTTCCCAGGGTCAATTTAAGATCAGATGAGCTAACGTTTTAAAGGTGTGTATTATTCAAAGTGAAATAAATCACTTTGTGACTCTAATCTTTATTTTTAGATGAAAAGTAGGTGACAAATGGTAAAGTTTATTTTTCCCTCACTTGAAACTCTTCTCTACAAAGTCGTTTGAACAGCTGCCTTAAAATGGTTGGATCCCCCAGTACAATGTACCATATACTGGAATATACTTTAGCACAGCTCTGCTTTTCATTGCAGGTTATTTAGTGTGACCTGAAACAATTTCCTTTATACTTTAAGTATTTTTTGCATCGCTTTTTGTACACTTCCTGTGTTGTGACGCATTACTTTGAGGCTGTCTGCTTGTTAGGTACTACATTGTCATATACCGCTGTGAAAGACCTTGCCTACTTCCTTTTTTCTGCAGAAGAGCTGCTGAATAACTTTGCACAGCAGACTGGAGCGTGGCGCCACTGCTTGTTCTTCCTCTCCAATACTCGAAATGAGTATGTAATGATGTACAGTCTCACAGTATTTGAAGTAAGTCCTCTTGGCGGGAGATGCATATTTTCAGTTCAAAGTACTGTCTGGAGCTTTAATAAACCTTTAAATCTTTGAAAACAAGACAGTTATCATAAAAAGACACAGTTTTATACGTACAGAATGCAGGAAGAGGTGCACTGTAACAAGAATCTGCTTCATAGTGTCTTTCTGTTTCCTCATTTTTTAAATTCTGAAAAACAAGTCAGTTTAGTGTGTAATGCATTTGCATGGGTTAAAAGGCTGAGCATCTCTTGATCTCCTTTGGACAAACTTTAACCTTCTTTATTGCATACTTGGGAAACATGCTTAAAGTTAGGTATAGCGTGATGCTTACAGTGGAAGGTGTGTTAGTCAAAATGGTTTTTAGTGGTTTTATTATGAAAAGCACATTACAATAGGTTATTGAGAAGTGTTAGAAAATATAACTCCATAAACAGTATGTCTATATGAATGTGTAGTTTCTTTCAGACAAAGCTCTGACAGGCGGTTTTTTTCCTTCTACTTTTAGAACCTGGTGAACAAGATGTGGATTGGTGTTGCTTCCCAAGACAAGATGGAGATTCGCAGCTGTCTGCCCAAACTCCTACTTGCTCAGCACAAATCCGTGCCCTATTTCATCCGTAATAAACTCTGCAAAGTCATCGTGGACATCGGCCGCCAGGATTGGCCAATGTTCTACCATGATTTCTTTACAAACACACTGCAGGTAAGCCCTGCTGACCTGCAATGAAAACATTTAGTAACTGAATGCTGATTGACGTGTTAAATGGTAACACCAGACACAGAGAGTTTCATTAAAGCATGACTACAATGCCACAGTTTCTCCTGTATTCCCTGATGGGGTAAAGTAGTTCTGAAGAGTAACCTTCAGCATTTTACCTTTTACATCTGTCAAATTTATCTAAACCGTGTTTCAGGTTTTCTTTGTTTATAAATTAACCTTTGTTTGTTCAGAAAAATGTACTGTAGTTATTTCAGTGTTTGCAGTCAACCATGAAACATAAAGAGGAAGTGGTATGTCCTTATACACAGAAGAAATTTGTCAAAAGTTAAAAATGTTGCAATTTTTTAATTAAACATTTGTTAAATAGACACCAAGGTTTCCAAGAGGAAACTGTTCAGGTAAAGATGGGACGTCACAGTGACTAGATCCTCATATGTTGTCTCATTATGAATTCAGAAAGAAATAACGGTGTAAACAATGACATGTACTACATGTAGTGCTGTTTCCGTGAGGGTTAATTTTGTTTATGTGCTGTTTATGTGCTTTGCTTTTATTGTAGCTCGTCTTTGTTTTAGACATGATCCCTCCCCTCCACTATCGAGCACTGAAAACCCCTGAACTGTCCTCCAACCTTCAGAAAATCTATGTTATTGCTTCCTTTTGGAACAGTTTGAAGTACTCGGGGTTGGTTGGGAATATTTTGTGATCTTACTGAGCTGCTGTCTGTGAATCTTTGAACCACAGTTGATCCAGTCCCCAGCTCTGGCTCCACTGGGGTTGGTGATGTTGAAAACCACGTCAGAGGAACTTGCATGTCCTCGAGAAGACTTGAGTGTTGCCAGGAAAGAGGAGCTGCGTAAACTGCTGCTGGAGCAGGTACCGACTGTGCTTGGACTGTTGACTGGTGAGAACAACTTTTAATACTTTCTGCAACTTGTTTCCCTAATGTAAATGTACTTTTTTCCCTCTTTATTTAAAGTACAGTTAAAATGTGATGGGTCTAGACAACTACAAATTCATAACATCAGATATTGCTATTGAATGGAAAGAGTACGAGTGTGCTACTGTCCTTTACCAAGAATGTCGCCTTACAGCTTGTTTGCTGAGCAAGCAAATATTTTCGGTCCATTTATAGTTTGTCTTTCAGAGTTTTCTTAGCTCAATTTAACCTACAGGAGTAACTAAAGACTTGTGGAACACATTTTACTGCCACAGAGGAAGTACATTAATAAGGACTGAAAACAAGTTCACACCATCTCTCTGTGTCTTTGTTGGAGAAACTAACCAAGGAGGGAAATTTTGAGTCAGAGAATATGGTTCTGCTTCAAGAGCCTGTAACCGAGAGTCAAGATACACAGATGTGGCTTTAATAGATTATGTGTTTGTGACAAAAAATGTAGTAGTGAGGACTCTGTTCTCCTTGCATTAGCTCACCACAAGTGTAAAGAGATTTCCTAACTTTAAAATGTGTGATGTTGGCAAGGGAAGTCTTAAAATTACGATTATTTGGGCTAATACAGTCGTGACTCAATAATCTGACGCTGAATGTAAAACCTTCTTTTATGTCAGATAGCAAGACTATCAGATTGTCAAGACAGAGGTCAAGATACAAGGAGGGCTTGTTGCTTGAAGGGTCATTTGTTGTTAATATTTATTGTTTTTTAGCTTATAATAACTAATGTATTGTTAGAACACTACGCATCGCTGGATTTCACGCCTAATTGACCGGTGCGCTTGTGCAAGTTCCGGCCACTTCCACCCTGGTGGTGCGCTCTGACAGGGTGGAAGTGACCGGAACACACAGACAGTACTTGACTGCTGATGCCAGTTTAGTTTGCGGTTACAATTCTGTTTCCAGCATCGGTGACGGACGGAGGAATAGCGGATACGCTCCACTGTTACAATCCGTGTTTACTTCCGTAAACACTGGACACGCTCACTGCGTGTGACGTTGTTGTGTCCTCTTGTGGCACTTCTGGGTCGTATGAAGTTCACACAGCAGATCACATACAAGTCGCATTCAACTGGAAATGTGAATGAACTGGCAGAAAAATTGGATTTTACAAAAAATCTGAATTGAGCATTAAGTCCTGCAGTCTGAATGTAGCCAATCTGTCGGATTGTTAAGTCAGATAATACACCGTTATCCTTATTTGTGACATAAAACGTGATGTCGGCGTCGGAATTCAAGGCTGTCGGTATGTTAAGACTGTTTTCTATGGGTTCCGTTCCTTTTTCCTAAAAAAAAAAAAAGAAAAGTCAGATAGCAAGGTTTTCGGATTGTTAAGGGTCGGGTTATCGAGTCACGTCTGTATTCTGTGCAGCATCTTTTTGCTTTGGATCTTTTCCATATTACTGAAGTAGCATGGGTACCTTTCTTCAGTTTAACGTCATTTAATTCAGTATATTACCCAGCCCTAGTAGCAGATGCTGGTTGGTCAATTGTGGTGCATTTTCCAGTCTAGGGACAAAATTAAAGGTTGCAGGCAACATGCAGAAAAGAGAATTGTGCTATAAATGATTAATGCATCACACTTACTGGTATTAGGGGGATATGGCAATTAGAAATTGCACATGATTGCATGTAATAATGAATGAACTGCAGCCTGAGTGAGCCAACAGTGCTGTCTTTTTGTCAAGGGATATAAAGTCTTAAATGCAAATCCAATCCAATATTAAGACTAAGGCACATCAACAAAAAAACCAAAATCTCACTCGACTAAAAGTAAAAATAAAGTCTGCATAAATATGAGTGAAGCTGCCAGAACAAAGGTTTTGGTGCAACCTCTTCAGTATATTCCAGTAACTGGGTTCTTCACCTCTTGACTTTCAGGTATTCTGGAGACATACTGGGACAAGCACAGTGTCATCGCTTCTACTCCGCCTCCGTCACCCACCTCAGGAGAAAGTGGTGAGCAAACCGTCACTTTGTTATTTGGTTAAAACTGAAAGGACTTGATAGCAGTGATCATGAAGTTGTTGTTGCCTGTTTACATTCTTGAGCAGTGACTGCGGCAAGTGTTTTATCAAGCAGTTTGTTTCGTGTATGTTTACCACTCCACTTTGTGTTTTTTTAAATCTCCCAGTGGAACTGCTGGGCACTTTGTTTCAGGGCAGCCAGTACTCGAAGCTGCTTTGTCAGCCCATGGCAGCATTGGACAATGACAGTCAGCAGCTCTGTTGTCTGGTTTTGGAGTGTTTAGCGCACCTGTTCAGCTGGATCCCTCTGTCCACGAGTATTACGCCCACCCTGCTGGCTTCCATTTTCCATTTTGCGCGCTTTGGTTGTGATCTTCGCACGAAAGCCAAGATAGGATCCTTCATCTCCTCCAACTCCTCCTCCTCTAATGGACAGCTTAATCCTGGGGTAATGCCGCCGACATCAAACGGAGGAGGGCGAAACGGACAGCAGAGCGAGGGGAACAAAGTGGATCGCGCCCGTCTCGGCGTACTTGCCATGACCTGTGTTAATGAACTGGTGTCAAAGAACTGTGTGCCAATGGATTTTGAGGAGTACCTGCTGCGAATGTTCCAGCAGACCTTCTTTCTTCTGCAAAGGCTGACACGAGAGAATAATGCTCATACAGTCAAGAGCCGCTTACAGGAACTCGATGAAAGGTACAACTCGGCCCATGAGTGGACGCTGGTATTGTGCATAAAGGAGTGTTTACTGGTTAAAAACTAGATTTTTGCTTTGCAAATTCATCATAATTCGTTTTTATTGCACTTAAAACATTTAAATGACACTGTATTGTTGTGCTTGTGTTTAAGTTGACTGTTGAGTTGACATAACCGCGGTCTGTAAATGTCAGTTTGAAGGTGCTGGCTCACTTTCTGCACACATCTAACCAAAATGCAAGATAAAATGCTGATTTGTAGATGCCATGTTGTATTCAGTTGTCTCAGAAGTCAGACATTGAGCTTTTTGTAATCAACTCCTCTGTGACGTCATCATCACTATCAGTTGAGCTTGATAATTCAGTGAGTTGTTTGTCAGACATGAGAGCCACAATGTCACTTTTTGTAGTCGAGAAGGAAGCTGTTTTTGGGTAGCATAACTGAGAACTTGGCCTTTATTGAAGAAATGGTAATATAATTGGCCACCATAGACTTTATGATGTAACTTCTGACTGCAAGATGTTTATGATTATTTCAATAGTTTGTGTTAACAATTTTCCTCTCATCCTGCAGTTACTTGGAAAAGTTCACAGACTTCCTGCGCCTGTTTGTCAGTGTTCACTTGAGGCGAATCGAGTCAAGTCCTCAATTTCCTATTGTAGAGTTTCTTGCCCTGCTTTTTAAATACACCTTCAACCAGGTAATGATAAGCTTGTGAGTCATTGTTTATGCAGCACATGACAGTGTGTTGATTTTCTACAGGTGTCATGCAAACCTGCTTCTCATTGCTTTTTCTTTTTTTTTAGCCAACACATGAAGGCTACTTTGCCTGTTTGGACATTTGGAGTGTGTTTTTGGATTTTCTAACCACCAAAATCAAAAGCAGGCTCGCAGACAGAGAAAGCGTCCTAAATAGGTAAGTCACCTAGAAAACCTGTTTTCCAAAACTCCCAGTGAGATCAAATTCATCGATGACCTCATAATAATGCAACCATCTATACTGCAGTCAACAAAGAGCACCGGATGTTGGAATCGATGCTTTTGCTTGAAATTTCTGTTGTTAAACTTTTTCATGTTTGATTGTGCAGGTACAAAGATGCCTTAGTTCTTCTGTTGAGGGAAGTTCTGAATCGCATACAGTTCAGATACAATCAGGCCCAGTTAGAAGAGCTGGATGATGAGACTCTGGATGATGATGTAAGAACATTTTACTGACAGTATACTTCACAAATTGTCATTTACATTTTCTCTTAATATGTATTGTGCATCTCCTGTAGCCTCAAAAAGTCTAAAATGAAAGTTTTGATACTATTAGCGACATCATATTTACCTTTGAACACATGTTCACATTAAAAATATGTATCTTTTACTTCATAGTCTGATATTCTCCTTTATTTGGTAACTATAGCAACAGACTGAGTGGCAAAGGTACCTGCGTCAGAGTCTGGAGGTGGTTGCCAAGGTGATGGAGCTGCTCCCATCCCATGCTTTTTCTACTTTGGTAAGAAATCATTGTTGGTGGCATTTTGTAAGGTTAATAGACATTACATTATCAGCTTTTGAATTATATTCCAGACCATTTCTTGCTGATTGGCTGGGAGGGATGTGTTAACATTTAGCATCAGGTCACAGTTAACACAGTCAGAGTTAACTGCTAAAACTTATTTTGCAAAATCATTGTGTTAAGTGAATGCATCCACATGAATAATATTTAATACTTTATGCTACGATTGAAGGAAATTAATTGGTAAAGCTACTGGACTAACTAATTAAACTGACTTATAACACACATGCGAGTGTCTTAATTCAAAAACAAACATGGATAACTGAGGCAGAGACTTCGTTTCAACTTTTTTTTTTTTACCACATTTGAAAATTACATTTTGCTGCTTTTTTGTTTCATTATCTTCCAACTGGATGTCTCATATCCAGTAATCTATAACTCCAGGCAGCTGCAGCAGCAGTAGAGTGATGCAACACGGCAGTTTCACGGATCTGACGTGAACAGTTCTCTCATGTGAGACGTGTGAAATTTAGAGTTGAGACTTTCACAGTTTTTTTTTTTTTTTTTTTTTTTAAACAAACGGCTGTCTGTTAAGCTGCTATAAAAGGAGTGAGACAGTTTACTTTCCCTAGTGCGGCACTGTAACATACATATATATATATAATTCTATTGAAACGTCACATGATAAACCTAATATCTTAAATAAATAAAGGGCGTCTATTTGTGAGTTTTTAAAAAAATAGATAAATTAAGGGTAGTTGTGGTTGAGAATAGAAAAATACTTTGTTTATCCCAGGCCTGGAAAATTACTGTGATAGGGCAGCAGCAAAGAAAAAAAACACCGATCACAGGTGGTAAACAGCATGTTGTGTTCAGAGATGAGTTGCAATATTTTATAAAATAGTGCATCAAGTGAAGCCTTTATCATATGATCATTTTATAACTCGGTTCGTCAAACTGAACTTAAATTGTTTTTAAAAGTGATTTCATGAATTGTTTTTTGTTTAAACCCGGTTTCTTCCAAAAGATGACGTCTTCCTGCTAATCAGTTGCTAAGTTGCTCTTGAGTTCTGTGGTTGTGATTCTGTGTTCTTCTTTTCTTTTCCTTCTTTCATGTTTGTGTGTCTGCTGTTTTGGACACGTCTGTACTCATCAAGCGAAGAAATTAAATAATACCAGAAAGAATTTGAATTTAATTATCACATATGAAGAAATGTTCAGTGATGTATCAGCCTCATCGTTATTCCGCTCTTCTCTCTAAAGTTTCCCGTCCTTCAAGAAAATCTGGACGTATATTTGGGTCTGCAGCAGTTTATTGTCACCACTGGCACGAGTAAGAAACATTTCGCATTCTTTGACTGATGGTATTTCCATTGATTTAAATGATAGAGTGGTCTGTGGTGACGTTTTTTTGTTTGTTTTGTGTTGTTTTTCAGGTCGAAGGCTCAATATCTCTGCAGAGAATGACTGCCGTCGACTTCACTGTTCTCTCAGGGACCTCAGCTCCCTCCTGCAGGCCGTCGGTCGCTTGGCGGAGCATTTTATTGGGGAGGTTTTTGCTGCACGTTTCAGTGACGCCCTGGCAGTGGTGGAGAGGTCAGTGTTCAGCTGCTGAAGGATTGTTGTGCCAACAACTGGAGTCTAGATTTGTGCTTTAGAATGAACAGAATTATTGATGCACATTTTAGCCAATATTACTAAATCCTGGTTCATTCCTAAGTTGACATTGGCTTCTTTTCTATGCTGTATTGAAGTAAATTTCTATGTTTTCAGCATACTAGAGGGTATTGTTGTGTTTGATGAGTAAGTGAAATATAATGAACCCTTTGTTTCTTTTTTTCAAGGCTGGTTGAAGTGACTTGTTACGGCTCTCAGACCAGCCTTTATGACCTGGAGACCGCTGTGCCTTCTGTCCTCAAGCCAGACCTCATTGACGTGTGAGTATCACATGTTGAACGGAAAATGTAACCCTGTATATGTGACACATTGGTTAAAAACAACAGGATTATGTTGTTGAGTTATCAAACAAAGTGTTATTTACAAGAGACCACGAGAAATGAGAGCGTTAATAGTTGCACAGAAGTGAAAAGCCACCGTATCAGTTTACACATCGTTGTACAGTTGTCTCACCTCCAGAGCAACTAAAAGTTTTACACCACCAAGTTGCAGAATTGTTTTATTTCTGGAACTGACTTCATGTCTTCATGAATTTAAATGTTGTCTTTCAGCGTTTACTAGAATTTCATGACATACAAAAATATTACCAAGTAATCTTGTAAATAAATAAATTAAAACGTACTATTCACAGCACTACTATTATTACCTATCACAGTACTATTATGTAAATTCACAGCCAGAGGGGGTAAGTTGTAAAAAGAAGAATCAGGTTTTAAGTGTGTTTGTTGTTTTGTTTGTTGCAGACACGCACAGGCCCTTGCTGCTTTGCAAGCCTATTCTCACTGGCTTGCACAGTTCTACAGTGAAGTCCACAGTCAAAACCAGACCCAGTTCATCAACCTCATCACGTCCGCAGTAGATGCCAGTAGCCCACTCATCACAGCGAAGGTAGCTTGACTCATACTTTTTTTTCCATGGTTGTCTTTAAGGTAATAATTCAGTGTTTGACTAATTTGTTTTATATGTACAGTTTTAAATATCTGTTTACATTTGTAACAGCGTTTAAAAGTTATGCATGCCTCTTAGCAAACAAAATTTAAAAAATACACAGCAATACTGGGTCAAATATAAGAAACTAGCGAACTCTTGATCTATATTGCGGTAATTGTTTCATGTTGCAACAGTGGTTTATTGTGGAGGAAATGACAAATGAGAAATGTTAACCAATGCCTAAACTCTGCAGCTTATGTTCACAGATGTTTTTTTGTGTGTCTGTCTTCCACTTTCTGTATCTGGCCATTTAGCTCAAGTGAACTTATGAGAAAGTTGTACATAACGGGTGAAAGGGCTGTAATTATTCCGTGTTACTACCAGTATTTGCTTTCCCCTGCTTACTCACATATATGAAAAAGCAACACAGGCTGGAGAGTCTTGCTATTGATTGGCTCTTTTAGTTTTACACTTAAATTCTGTCTTTATCTCCAGGTACCTGAAAAGTTGCTGCTCTCAGCTTGTCACTTGATGGTCTCCATAACTGCCACAGTGAGGCCTGTGTTCTTGGTCACTTTGCCAGCTGTTCAGAACATCTTTAATCTGATTACTACAGAGAATCAGACCCGCAGACTGCCCCAAGAGGTAAATGTTGGTAGATTTTAATGTGCATATCTCGTGATTATAAAAACAATAGACGTTCAGCTAGATAGGATTGGTTAAAGTTCTCTTTTTTAATGTTAAATCAGAAATTTCTCTTTACACAAAACATTAAACAACGTAAAGATTAGGAATAAACGGATGTCTTTTAAAATGATCTCAAAGATTAAACATCTTGAAATGTCCTCAGTATTTGGAGTAACCCTGCGTGTTCATGTGTCGCTGCTCACACAGGCTCACATGTTGGTGTGTAGAGCTTTATCCAATATGCTGCTGCTCCCATGGCCAAATTTACCAGAGAGCGAACAGCAGTGGCAGACACGCTCCAGCAACCATGCCAGCTTACTGGCAGCCCTCACCCGAGAGTATCGTATTTTAAGAGGCACAGTGAACATTACTCCACGGCAACCCGGCCTGGATGACAGTCAGTATTTCTTTCTCTTACTTTAGTGCTTCATGTCTTTTTTTAAACACTCGTGGTTTCTTTTTACATTATTCTGACGCCTCCTTTCACATTCTTTGTCCTAATTGTGTTTTCTCGCTACTTTTCTCTAGTGAAAGCAGTGATAAAGCAGACCCTGCCTGTCCTCAGAGACATAGTGGACAGCATCTCCGGTGAATCCACTAAATCACGTCAGATCTGTTACCAGAGTCTTCAGGAGTCTGTCCAAGTGTCTCTCAGCCTTTTCCCAGTGTTTATTCAGCAGCCAGGTTAGTTTGTCATCTGCAGCCAACTGTCCAGAAAAAGAAACAACTAACATTTTGATCACAGTTTAAGAAGGTTTAAGAACACTTGAATATCTTTACTCATCTGCTATGTCACAGCGGACTACAGCTTATTCCAGCATGCGGTGCACTTTACAAACTGGTGGAAGTGTTTCTCTACCTCCTCCTAGTGCATGAAGTGTAACATTGCATGAAGAAAGAGGCCAAATCCATGTCTTTGTACAGTCTAAACCAGGGGTCTCCAATCCTGATCCTCAAGAGCCACAGTCCTGCATGTTTTAGATGTTTCCCTCTTCCAACACACCTGATTCAAATGATCAGGATCATTATCAGGCTTCTGCAGAGCTTGATGATGATCCTGATTCAAATGATCAGGATCATTATCAGGCTTCTGCAGAGCTTGATGATGAGCTGATCATTTGAATCAGGTGTGTTGGAAGAGGGAAACATCTAAAACATGCAGGACTGTGTCTCTCAAGGACTAGGGTTGGAGACCCCTGGTCTAAACATTTGTCTTTAACCTCAGTTTAGCAACATTATTTCTGCTGTAGCAACTGCTAGTTATTGATGCAGTTCTTTTACAGTTTGCTCTGGATTTCCTAACTACACACCTTGTTTTCGCCGTCACAGCAAGCAGCAGTGCTCATGAATGTTAATGCTTATTTTATATTAGGATGATGTTGGTCACAAAAAAGGAAATATTAAGATGTTAAAATATTAGGAGTCCTGTGTTCCAAGCTCAGTACAAAGCCACAGAAATCATTTGTGGGCTCAAGTAGTTAATAATAATTCCTACAAATAATGCAATAAATCCTTATGAACTAACAGTTTGAAGACATGCATGATTGTCTCACGGCCAACTTCATTAATTGTCACCTCTCTTTCCCAGATGTCACAGATGAGATGCTGGCCTTCTTCTTGACGCTGTTTCAGGCGTTGCGAGTCCAGATGGGTGTTGCCTTCACGGGTCAGATCATCCACACTTTCCTCAGCATGTTCACCAGGTACAAAACTTTCTTGATCAGTTGTATTTACAAAAGTACTACATCCTGTTTTGACGGATAAACATTAAAATTTTACGTGACAAACACTGAAAATGTAGGAATCCCTCTTAGGACCCAGTAACGTGATGCGACTTTTTTTGTGCTCCAGGGAACAGCTGGCAGCCAGTATTTTACAGGAGGGCAGTGCAGGTTGTAGAGTGGTACAGAAGTTCCTGAAAATCCTGCAGGTGGTGGTACAAGAACCTGGTCAAGCATTCAAGCCCTTCCTACCCAGCATCCTCTCGCTGTGCATGGAGCAGGTCTACCCAGTTGTGGCAGAGGTCAGTTGGTGCTCGTTAATGTAGAAATTTGACGTGGTTCCATTTCTGCTGTTAAGCTACGAAAGTTGTCAGTATCACAAAAGAAAGTCAAATTCACAATAATCGCAAATCGGTTCATTTAAATATGTTGAAAATGAAAATAGTCGTGTGCTTAATAATGATATAATTCCCGATGCTGTATTTTTGTCTTTGCCAGTTGTCAAATTTCCTGATTAACAGTCATTATTGAATCTGTTGTTTTTTTCGATAGCGGTCTTCGCCAGACGTCAAGGCGGAGATGTTTGAGTTGCTATACCAAATACTTCACCAAAACTGGAGGTACTTCTTTAAAACTTCAGTCTTAACAAGTGTCCAAAGAGGAGCTGCTGAAGACACGATGGAAAATGAAGCCCAGTTCACTGCCGCCATGCAGGTGTGTTTATACGTTTGCCTACTGTTGTCGTCATCGTACCTTCTGGGTGTTTTTGAGTGTCTGTTCTTCAGGTGAACAACAGTTTATTGTCCAATCGATGTAACAATGACAAAACTTTTTGTGTGAAGCATATATAATCTAAAATCCAACTGACGTGTTCTCAAAGTTAGAAGTCATCTTAAATTCTAACATTTTCTCGTAGATAACAGTCCATAGTTAAATCTATTTCCTCATGATTCCTTTGCTTATGCTGAAATATCTTTTCCAGGCTTTCGGACAGTCTTTCCTGCAGCCCGACATCCACATTTTCAAGCAGAATCTCTCCTATTTGGAGTCACTCAACAGCAAGCACAAGTTGTATCACAGAGTAAGTTCAGCTTTTCTATCAACATCTTTATTTTACTTGAGCAGCACATCATAGAGCAGAGATGCTACCAAACCTCTTTTCTGGAAGCAGTCTGCATACGTCCACAACTTGTCGATCATTATCAATCTTTGGAGTGTAACACTACACAAAATTCACACTGTGTTGTGTACCAAGATTTTGGAGTTGCAGTTCATTGCATTACAAGCAAGATTCTTATCATTTGTTATTGTAATATAAACATTCAACAGAGTCTCATTAGCTGTGATTCTTTTGAACTGCATTTAAATACTGGCCTGTTATTAACAAGCAAAATTAAACATGTAGGAAACAAATGTATATATATTTTAAGACCATAAACTAAGTATAACATAAAATCTCCATTGAATATTGATATTCCTAATTAATTCAAATTAACCATTAAAGCCATCCTTGTAGCTTAAGGACTACACAAAGTAATGGTAGATTTCTTTCTTTTGCACAGCCATTTTGTTTGAACAGACTTTATTGGAACAAACCACGAGCCATCACGGACTTGTTCAGTGTGAGCACAAGAATAGCAGATTGTTGGTGTTCAGGACGGAAAATAAAAACCGTAACCAGTCAACATCATACAAGACTAACAAAAAGCATTCCGTGTCTGCCTTTGCTTGTGTGCTAGCATGCTATAGCTACCAAACTTTTCAAGGTGGAGCTGGTGCAATATCTCTTCTGGAAGTGAGAGTGTCTGAACACAAATAGACAATTCTGACTGTAATTGCTTTAATCAGATCCTTTGTTACCCATGAAACCTGTTCAGTGTTTTTTTCTTTAGTTTTGTTGTGTTTTTTTTCCTCCTTAGGACACACGTGGTGACACTCAGACCATCATGACCACTGTATTCTTCCCAATAATAACATAAATATTACCAAATCTAAGATTTTTCAGGTTTAAGATGCACATCATAGTCATAACAAAGTAATGTACATTTTAAAAAATGGATTCCCTGTAATTAAAGAAGCAGTGAATGGACCTCAATCCATCACTCTGTCCTGCACACAGCCTCTGACTGACAAAACAAAAACAAACTCATCCACATGTGTGAACTGCAGCGATTCTCTACATCACGTGTATCGACTCTGTTGTCATTCTTATTGGTATTTTTGTGCTACAGAAGCTTTTCCGGACCTCGATGCTCTTCCACTTCATCAACGTGCTGCTGCAAGTCCTCCTCCACAAAAGTCACGACCTCCTCCAGGAGGAAATCACCCTCGCTATTTACAACATGGCCTCTGTGGACTTTGATGCCTTCTACTCCGCCTTCATGCCAGAGTTCCTCAACGGCTGTCAGGGTGTGGACACGAGCCAACGAGCTGTTCTCGCACGCAACTTCAAGCTTGAACGGGTAATCTAATGCTATGCTAACAGTGTTTCGGTGCTAACACACGCATTGTGAGTTGAATCTGCGAGCAGCTCTCTCCCAATGGGTAACCATGGTGACGTGTTTCACAGGCTGTTGGCACATTGTATGTTGCATTAAACAGAAACAGAATTAACCTGTTGTTACGCACCAGATTTGGCAAGACGGCTTAGATTTGTCCACAACAACAGCCAATAGAAATACCCAAACGTCTTCCCTTAAAGTCTTGATTGACCTGAATTATAACAATATATTTTCCACTTAACCTCCAGTGGCCTTGCAGGGAATTTGATATTGTTTGTGAAGGTTTTGAGACAACAGATTTATGCTGTTAAAGGGCTTTTATAACACTTTTGTTCATAGCATTTTCAGCAGCAACCTGTCTAAAAGAAGTCTGGAAGAACATGGAAACTTCCTCTAATGTATTTTGTTCTAAAGTAGTCTATGATATAAATTGAATATTCTTCTGTTGTATTAAAGTGGTATTGCACAGAAAGCTACCAGATCGCAACATGTTTTTATAGTTTGCTCCAGTAGTGACAAGTTAACAGCCAGAACCAAACAAACTGCACATGTGCTCTTTTCTTTCGCTTTCTGTTTAACTTTTGCAGCACAGTAAATGAACAGTTCTTAATCTATTAGCAGAAAAGGCATACAATATTCATATTAATGTTATCATTAGTCTATAATCACCTGCGACTATGAATTGTTGTGTTCTTGTTAGCTTAGAATGTGCCTTTTATATCTACTTTGGAAGCCCTCAGTGTTGCACCACCGCATTCCTACAGTAGCTCAGACCACTCAGACCAAACACTGGCTTTAGAGTTTGTGTTTTTTACAGTGAAGCGTCAGTAAGGTTCTGCTTCACGCTTGAAAACATGAGAGGTGATTCAGTTGGTTGCAGTTTGCAGCGTCACTGATAGATGCTGCTAAATCCTACACTTGTTTAATGGTATGCACACTCACTGGTGTTTTTATTTGCTTTGTGAGATGAGAACTGTGCATGACTGACATCTACCTGAGGCTACGTCTACACTGATATGTTTTCATTTTAAAAAACAATGTGCAACTGGATGAGTGTCTTTTCAGGAATAATCTATCCATGTGATCACGGCTTGCTTCTTTTAGAGCCATGAAATATGGGATTAATCAGAAAAAGACATGTAGTGACTGATAGGAAACAAACAGAAAGCAAACGTTTCCGAAATCTCAGTTTATTCCTGTCAACACGTCAACATAGGATTCACAGAGTTGAGGCAGTTTTCTAGAAGGTCATGACCTAAAGCTGCATTTGCATATGTACATAAAGCCAAAAATACAAGGACAAAGCTGAGTTCTGTCACATTGTGGCTCTTTTTCTACTTAACAGCTTGCACCTGCTACATGTTTACACCTTCAAGGAATCCAGAGTCTCAACTTCAGTCCTGGTGTTCGTTCACTTGAATTGGGCGGCACATCAAACAGAATAAAGAAACACCTGTGTGAATGATGGCTTCATTCCACTCATTGTCATGTCTCATCGGGACGTTTGATGATGTTGAGCATTATTAGTTCCACCTGTGCATTCTTTCTTTATGTATATCAGTACTTCAGAATTGATTTTAAATATCATCAAGCTCCAGCACATGTTTGTGTTTGCCTCGTGTTGTTTTCTTCACCACTGACTCACCTTCTGTCTCCTTTCTCTTCTTTTTGAAGGACCTGCCTTCGTTCACTCAAAGCGTGCAGCGGCTGGTGAATGATCTTCGCTACTACAGACTGTGTAACAGTAGCTTGCCCACTGGCACCATCAAGCTATAGCACAATGACTGATTGAACCACTCCACATCGACTATGATCTAAAGGACTGCCTGTGCTGACCACTTTGCCCAACACTCCTCCAATTCAGCTTTGCTCCACCTCTTCAGAGTGACAGGAGGAAGCGACACACATGGTTTGGTTGAGTAATTTTAGGTTGAGGATGCTGCTGATGTTCCTTTGATTTCTACTGTAGAAGGTTGGCACATTATTATTATTTTGAAAGCAGTGCCCTCCTTATGTATTGCCAAGGTTAATTTGGCAAGAAATGTAAACCTGGTCTGCAGTTGGCTTTCGCCCAGACCTGGAGCAGTCTGAGCCAGGCCTTCTTTCCCACGCCTCCGCGACAAAGCTGGGCTGGGACTGAGCACTTTCAACTCATTTTGAGTTTTTTAAATGTCTGCTTTCATTCATTTTTGCCTTTTTCATCTCCAAAGGAGACAGACTCTCAACTTAAGATCTTTCATATCATTCCATTCTGAAAAAGAGAAAACCTGCTTGATTAATAAAGTGCTTTTTTAGTAAAACTCACGCATTGGTTAATTCGTGCTTTGATTGGTCTGTGTTCCCTCTGGCAGAGTTGTTGCACTATTGTTTGTAAGAATAGCGGTTGTATTAGGAGATTCAACAGTTTGCTGTATCTTTGCACTGTTTTTGCTTTATAGTTGTTAATGACGGCTTTTCATTTTAACTTAAAATCATTGTTGTTAACTGCAGAATAACTTTTGAGGCTTGCATTTTTTTAATAACCTAGATTCAGATGTTGAGGTCTTTGCAGATGGACAAAGCAGAGACGGATTTTTATTGTGAGAAACTTTTGAGCATGAATAGACGAGAGTCTTGAGGCGTAACGTGTGAGCATTTGCATGGGAAGAATATTGAGAGAGTTTGACAACTTTCACAGTAATAAGGTGAAACAAGAGCACAAACTTCACAGTACTCTGTACAAGATGTTGCATCTCTTTCTGCAGGTTGAGCAGGCAGCGATGATCCCTGCTTCAATCCTAGTGTCTGGTATCGTTTATCAGTCTGAAGCTTTAGACATTAAGATGACTGAACACCTATAAAGTGTTTACATTCAGTTTTGCCGTGGGCTTTACTGTGTGATTGCTGGATGTTAGAGAGCTGTTTGGAGCTGTCTGAGCTCCACCAACAGGACTGTGAGGGAACAGAAATAATCTTAATTGTTGCACTGCTTTAGTTTGATTGAAGATTTAATTTTTTTGTCTCAAAATCTCACCGTGATGCTGAATTATGTAAATTATGTCTTTAATGTAAAAACAAGTATATATATAAATATCACTGTTGCCAGATGTTGAGAAGGTTTCAATTTAGTGTTGATTGAACTCTTAAAGATGATCATATTTATGGGGTTTTATGTAAAGGGAATTCCAGCAACTTTACACCTAAAGATCACTTTATTTTTAATATATTTATAATAACGGTGTCTTCTGTGGTTGTTGGATTTTACACAACAATGATATGATCTGGTCACTCAGCAGACTTGGAGTTCTTCATACAAACACTGAGTCAAAGTCAGAGTATCTTTGCTTTTGCTGCCTCTTTGGTAAATTTACAACACAATTTAAAAAAAAAAAAAAAAAAAAAAAGGAACCTGAAGAATCAGTGTTTGGCTCTTAAACTCACAGTTACCACACCCCTGCTGAATATCTGCTGCTAAAACAGGAAATTGAAAGTAGCTATGTACATTTTCTTAAATAAGTGCAATTTTGAGTTTCTTGTACTTTAGTATTTCCATTTCATGCTACTTTATACTTGTACTCCACAACAAATCAGCAGCTAATATTGTACTTTTTACTCTATTGCAGTTATTTAGTGACTTTCCAGATTTTGTTTAAGAATACAAAACCTAGTCAACAAATACATTCAATGTAATATTATACATTAAGATAAAACTTTATTGATCCCCAGGGGACATTTACAAGCTACCCAGCAGATAAACCATGTAAAGTATTTAAGTCACCAGCTCGAACCTTAAAGTGATGAACACAGTAATGCGTCAATATTTCTCATCCAAAATATGTACATTATTCTAAATTATGCTTTTCTGCATAGCAAGTACTTTTATTTTTGGCACTTAAAGTGTATTTTAATGCTAATCATTTGTTCCTGTTACTAAAATATTTTAAATGGATGACTTTTACTGTTCTTTTGCACTCTGGTGTTGGATCTTTTATTTAAATACAAAATCTTGATTATTTCTGAGGAGGTTTATGCACAAAACTTGTATTTTTGTCAAATCCAGTGATGCAATCAGACAGAAATGAAAATTATTTTTTTAAAAAAAGGAATCTTCGCTCAATGCTGAAATAAATATGAACGTTTTTGGAGAAATAATAAGAAGCAGCCAGAGGTTTGGCACCACTGGAGTTAAATGTTTGAGTGACAGTGAGGTTAGACGCACAGGGGGATGTCCACGTCCCGTGAGTTTTTATTGAGGAGGGTTGACTTCACTCTCCAGAGGTTGACACGTCAAAACACGGTCATGTTGCAGCGGTACATTTTTAACAGAATCCTCAAACAGTTTCATTCGGGGTTTCAAGAACCCACCAGAAGTCTGCTGTCTGGGTTTCCCACTGCGCTGCGGGGCGGACACGGAGCTGCTTGGCACAGGAGCAAATCAAGTAAGTGGCTGGATTTGTATCAGCTGGGGAGTTGTGCCTAATCATGCTTTTTTTCCCCCTCTCTTCTCTTTTTAGTATTTCAGAGATTTTACGCCTAACTTTAAGTGACTCTTTATGAGTTTAATGTCAGATTCAGAAACTGACCACGTAATTTGAGAAATATAAGTGATGTGATGTGACATAATAAAAAACCATATGTAGAAACATATACTTAAATAAAAGATTACTGTTGGATGTGATTGGCAGAGAATTTACCTCCAAAGCGTATTTGTTCCAAACTTGACAGCGCCATTTGCGATAACAAATCCCCCAGTCTGACGCACGGGGTCATGAACTGGAACTGGGTTAGAGGCACAAAGTTGGTGGGGATGACGCGAGAAACCAAACAAGTGGTCAAAATCTGTGCGTTCCGTGCGTAATGACCAAGGCACCGCACCAGCACCCACTAAACCCGAACCCTTCCCCCAGAACCAAACTAACCATGTCCCCTTACATCACTGGCACAGGCAGCCTTAAAGCTGAATGCCAGCGGACGGAGCTCTTCTCGTGGCGTGTCCCGTGTGTGTTGAATTGATCGCATGCAGTCATTCATTAGCTCGTGTGTGGTTTTGCAGCTGTGCGCAACGAGGCCACTGAGCAACATACACACAATATCTGTTGTGCCAAATGCTCTTTTACGCACAGAGGGTAGTTCTGCCTGTGTTTACATAAACTTTTACGCAGTCACACTGTGGGGCTCCACTCACTTTTTGGAGACACAAAACAAGGCCTATCTGTTTTTGCAAATGAACTCTTCAAATACAATCAGGAAAATGTACTTACAGTATTAACCGTAAAAATACTCAATGCAGAAAATTGTCACATGATACTGTACTATTATACAGTACATTATTTGATTATTATTACTCATGTTCTAATGTAAAAGCAGGACTTCACAGTGGTAGTTTCTTGACGTGGATCTAATTTTTCAACTATTTTGTATCCAACTGACACTAAATATGATTTTCATTACTGATTAAACTGCTGATTATTTTCTCCACTCATTGCTTTTTGAAAGAAAGAAAGAAAGAAAGAAAGAAAGAAAGAAAGAAAGAATTGCTGTTAGGCTTGTTTTGTCCAACCAACAGTCCAGACTTTTAAAATGATTAAAATCTCCATCACATTTATAAAGTGTGGAATCTTTATCCATTAAAAATAACTTAAATGTGGGTAAAATAGTTTCCAATTATTATTTGATTAATCATTCCAGCTGTACTTTACAAAATGTTCAATAGTTTAATTTATTTTTTAAAATGTTTAGAATAGAATAGAATAGAATGCCTTTATTGTCACTATACACATGTACAATGAGATTAAGAGCAGCTCCTTCAGTGCAACATAGAATAAAGAACAAAATAAAGAGCAAAAAATAAAATAGGAGAGATTTCAATATAAAATAAGATAAGTTATATATACAGTGTAAGTTATATGTATATAAGCTCTTTATATGTTTTTTGTTCAAAAAATTGTAATTTGTAAAGTCACTAAAGCTGTCAGATAAATGTAGTGAAGTAAAAATGAGTAGAAGTAGAAAACAGAACACTCAACTACAGTACAAGTACCTCCATGTTGTACTTAAGTCTAGTACTTTAGTCCTTGTTCTGTCTCGTCCCAGCAGCTCATCCAGATGTGAGGGAGCGGACTCTTATAGCTGTGAAGCCAGATGGAGTTCAGCGTCGCCTCGTGGGACAAATCATTCAGCGGTTTGAGCAGCGCGGCTTCAAGTTGGTCGGCCTGAAGATGCTGCAGGTACGCAAGTCTGGAATAAGTGTTTGTGTGATGTCCAAGCTCTCTACTCAATGTGTCTGTCTCTGTATTAAAGGTGTCTGAGGATCTGCTGTCTCAGCACTACTGTCAGCTGACGTCGAAGCCTTTCTATCGCAATCTGGTGGATTACATGACCTCAGGGCCAGTGGTCGTCATGGTGAGGGCATGATATCTGCTTCTTTTATATAAAATTAGCTCAATTTTTGCATTATGTTGACCAACTTTTGCATTTTTGCTCAGGTATGGGAGGGTGACAACGTAGTGCAGTCAACCCGTACGATGGTGGGACCCACGAATCCAGCTGCAGCTCAGGCAGGAACAGTCAGAGGAGACTTCAGCCTCCATGTCAGCAGGTAGCCTGATGTCACATCATGTCATCATACAGCTGAATCCAGAAGTTTACATACACCGTTTACATAGACTCATAACCTTTTTTTTCCTCACTGTCTGACATTTAATGTGACTAAGCTTTTTCTGTTGTCGGTCAGTTAGGATTACCAAAATTATTTATATTTGCTAAACGCCAGAATAATGAGAGAGAGAATTTTTTATTACTTTCTTCAAAGTCAGAAGTTTACGTACATTTCCTTAGTATTTGGCAGCGTTGCCTTTAAACTGTATGACTTGGGTCAAACGTTTTGGGTTTCCATCCACAAGCTTCTCACAATAGTTTGATGAATTCTGGCCCATTCCTCCTGATAGAACTGGTGGAACTGAGTCAGGTTTATAGCCACCTTGCTCCACACGCCTTTTCAGCTCTGGCCACATATTTTCTCCAGGATTTAGATCGGGCCTTTGTGATGGCCACTCCAAAACACTGACCTTGTTGTCCTGAAGCCTCTCTGTAACTAATCTGGCGGTATGCTGAGGGTCAGTGTCCATCTGACAACCCATTAGTGCCCAAGCTTTAACTTCTTGGCTGATGTCTTGAGATGTTGCTTCAATATTTCCACAAAATGTTCTTTCCTCATGATGCCGTCCTGCAGCAAAACACCCCCACAGCATGATGCTGCCACCCCCATGCTTCACAGTTGGGATGGTGTTCTCAGGCTTCAAGCTTCCTCTTTTTTCCTCCAGATGTAACGATGGTCATTAAGGCCGAACAGTTCGGTTTTAGTTTCATCAGACCACAGGACATATCTCCAGAAATGATGGTCTTTGTTCCTGTGTGCATTTACAAACTGTAATCTCTGGGACAGAGAAACCAGACTTGTGGAGGTCCACAGTTCTCTTCCTGATATCTTGGCTGATTTCTTTAAATTTTCCATGTTGTCACAAAAGGAAGCAGTGTGTTTGAGGTGTGCCTTAAAATACATCCACAGGTGTGCCTCCAGTTAACTTAAATGTTGTCAGTTAACCAATCAAAAGCTTCCAAAGCCATGACATCATCATCTAGGCTTTCCCAAATAGTTTGAAGGCAAAGCAATCTTAGTGTCTGTATTCTATTTCTATATATGCTATATATGCTATATTCTGACTTTGAAGAAAGTAGTAAAAAAAAAAATCTCTCTCTCATTATTCTGGCATTTGGCAAATAGAAATAATGTTGGTAATCCTGATTGACCTAAAACAGGAAAAGTTTAGTCTGACTTAATGTCAAACAGTGAGAGAAAAAAAAAGGTTTTATATCTTTTTCCACAGTGTATGTAAACTTCTGGTTTCAATTGTAAGGTTCAGGACTAGACTTCATGTGAAGATATTGCGTGTGGTCTCTCTGTCCTGGAGGTAAATTAATCTTGTGTGGATGTGGGTATTTAAAGGAATGTGGTTCACGCCAGCGACTCACTGGAAGGAGCTCAGAGGGAGATCCAGCTGTGGTTTCAAGGAAAAGACCTCCTGAACTGGGACTGCTACGACCAGAACCTCACGATGGAGGAGTGAGGATGCTGACGGTAGGAGGCAGTGAGAGTCAGTGATACCACCTCTCCTCCGGCTCGTCTCTTCCGACACAGCGACTGGAAAAGAAGAGGAGCCACATCAGTGTTCCTTCTACATAATTTACCTCATTAAATGCACTTATCAAAAGATTTTTGTTCAATCAAATGTGAAATTTCAGAATTTAAACTACATGAGCAACTACACGCACAAATATGAAGGTGGTAGCATCTTTTTAAATCTATTATTACCTGAACTTAAAATTGACTTTATGTTCAACCAAACCTAAAACACAGGATATTGGTTTTAGAAATTCCTATCGTTCATGTTGTGAGCTGTTAGTTTTGACTTTCAAAATAAGATCATTTTAATTCATTGTCTGTTATTTTTCTTTATTTACTTACTCTCCCCTCATTACATGCTGTGCAATTATTGTTCACAGCTTCTACACCACCTTTACAACCCTCTTCTTTGATAACAAATATATGCAAAATAATGTAATATACATATATA